CCCGTCTCACTTTCCCCCCACCCGTCGCAAATTAATTGAACTATACTGTGCACCCCGCCCCCCGAAGTGTCCACCAGCCACGGATAGTAAGGTGACCCCTCGGCGTACACGACGCTCTCCTTAAAATCAAACGCGTTAGAATCCACGCCACACTGGACGTACGAATGGACGCCAATTATCCGGTTGAGGACGGAATTGCAATGCAAATTTGTACTCTTGCTAAGCATGCTTTCATACGTGAACGAGATGGGACTAGCAAGGGACGCATGTAACACGGTGTGCTGTCCGATGCCACAAGTATAAATGGCGTTTAGGGGCGCGTGCAGTTTCGAAATTTCCCACGCTACCCCATCTCCGGGGTAGACGAGGCGAAGATTGTTCAGAACGGCAGGAAAAGGCGGCATGTTTAAACTTTTCGAATTTTGGAGGGCTCTCGTCTCAACTAAGTTTTCAATCGCTACGGCAACCAGGACCACATCTCCGGAAGAAGATCCTCGCCTCAAGAGCACTACACAGGGGCAGAGAACGGCTTTATTCCTCTTTCGTAAGGGAAGAGCATGAACCCCGGTTAAATCAGCGATAAAATAATCGGCATCGTCGTTTTCTTGCAATTTGAATAATTCCCGGAATGGGGCCAATTCTGTCCGGTTTGGGTCAAGATGCGTGACCAATTTTGAAAAATGTGTGTCCGTCCAAATTGATACAAAATGTGAGTCGCTGATTGGTCTCGGGTTTTGAATGGCGGCCTCGTCATAGGCGAATTTTCCCCTCCCTGCCGCCATGTATTTCGTCTTCACGGCGGAATTGTACTCGTACAAAACGTGCGGCGGGAGTTGGTTGACAGGAATTAGGACATGGCCAGGATGCAGGATTGGTTCGAAGTTATGCAAGGTTTTGAATTCTTGCGTAATTGCACCCGCGTAATTTCTTTGAATTAAATGCTCGATCTCTTTGTGTCGTAATGCCTCATAGAAATTGATATATACGGTCTCCGCTTGAGACGATGGCATCCCTCGTAACGATAACCAGTTCATTTTGCCCCAGAAACCACCACTCCCCCCGAAATTAAATGAGATGGGACAGTTTCCAACAGTAGCTTGTTTGTAAAGCGAGTATAAACGAATTCTATCCGATGAAGAGATTAGGGCATGATTTAGCAAGGGTACGAGTACTTGAGTGGTATTTTCAAAAAGGATATCCAGTTCTTGTTCTTTTGCGGGGGACAGTTCTTTATTCGAATTTAGGTCTGGGGATTTCACACATTCAGTAAATTCCTTATGGTTTCCGTTTTCCAGCATTATATATATGGGTATATGGGTATATGGGTATATGGGTATATATATATATGGGTTATAATTTTTAACTGCATCGTTAATTTTTCTTAGATGAGGCTATAGTTACTGCAGGAAAAAAATCATCTAAGTAAGCAATCACTACGGTTTTGAAAAGCTTAATTTTTTCAGATCTAGGTCAATCTCCATCCGATTTTAATGAAATTAGTGTCCAGAGTCAATTATGGCAAATTAGAATTGAACTGTCGACCAGGAGGCTGGAATAGTGCCCTGTTCCTGAGATATGCAGGAAAAACACCCTCGAAAATGTGTTTTTTTGAGATTAGAAAAAAATGAAGGCCTTCATGCTAAATGTAAATGAGCAAAAAGTTGATACATATTTTTTATAAAAATACAAAATTAAAATCCCGAAAATCAGTTTAAAACTGAGAAAGTTTTGATGGTGGTCAAAATATTGCCTCTCCCACCACCACCAAGTTTAGTTGCTAAGGCCCACCACTCAGCAAAGTGATAATTACGAATAATAAAAGGGTACACTAGCTTACACTACTTAATAAATTACTTTCAATTGCGAATAAAAACTATTAAATAAAAGAAACCCAAAAAAGGAAAGCTTAGATGAGACTTAAGAAGTGCGATAAAAAGTATTTAATAAATTTCTTCTCCAGTGAAGGATATAGAATTTTAATATTTCCAGCATCAGCGCCCCATTTCATTCACTATCATATAAATAGATGCAAATATACAATAACTATCAAATTTCAAATATGATGTAGCGAAACATATTAAAATCATTTGCTAATTGTTCTTGTCACTAAAAAATTATGAATGCTTGCAATTATACTTAAAGTTGATACATAATATACAGGTCTTACCAAATAGTCGATTCCATTCCCCAGTAATATGCATGCGTGAACATGTTGCTTATGTAATTTAGTATAAAATAAAATGGGGCGCTGATACTGGAAATATTAAAATTCTATACCCTTCACTGGAGAAGAAATTTATTAAATACTTTTTATCGCACTTCTTAAGTCTCATCTAAGCTTTCCTTTTTTGGGTTTCTTTTATATGCTAAATAAACAAAAATCAGGTTAATATTGTACTCCAGTAAATAATCAGATTCCACTACTCACTTCAGATATTTCCAGGCGCAGATCTTATTATTTTCATCTCGTTCAAGATTTCCAACTATTAATCAGGTCAGGAACATGTGAATGCTTTCATATTGATGTCAGGTTCGCCAACATCAATATGATTGAGTTAGCGCCCGGACGCTCCTTAAATATGGAGCTGCGGGTATTCCTCCATAATTAACTTCGTTGCCCTTCACGACAAAACCGGTCTGTGACCTTGTTTAGACTGGTTAACTAATTAATTATGTTGACTCGACAGAATTCGCGTTGTGCAAGCTTGCGGCTCTACATCCTCCTAATTACATATGCAAATGTTTATTATGCAACAACGGATGTACCCCAAATATTGGGTACTCGATGTACACTGACATAATCAGATTTTATGCATTGTTTATTTATAAAGAGTGTATGTAAGCTGAGTCGCCAATTATACAAATCTACTTAGGAGACTTTCCCAATTCTGACCATATAATCAAGCGCTTGAGTTTTGTAAATAAACACGAATCATTTCTCATGGTGCCATTCTACTGAAACATGCAGACGCTCATGTTTCAGGGCTGTTTATAATGCATGCATTTATTCAATGGGGACTCCATTATGGAGTGTATATATGCATTTCTGGGTATAAATGCATGAGGTAACTTTTTCAAAATCTATATTATAAGCTGGAAATGTCTGCCCACAACGGAAGTGAAAGCAAGTGAAAGTTCATTTGCAACTACGACCAAATTCTATCGAGTCTCTTTTCACTTCAGACACTTCAATCTTAGATTTTGAACGCTGAACACGAATATGATATCCGATTCGACCTACGACAACCCACTGACCGTGTGGTTCAGGTCAAGTTCAAAAACATAGGAAAGACGATCGCCCTGCGAGATACGGGTTTGTACGCTCGTAATAAATACTTTGGAAATTGGGAAGCCTGTAATCCATGCTATAAATAGCATAGATAAAATTGGCAAGGGTAATGTGTCTGAAGTCAAATATTTTTTGTCAACATTTGTATTTAAATGCTCCGGCCAGTAATGATCTAATAAGCAACAGTTTTCTAATCCTATGAGTTAATGAAATGCACAAGTATTACATTAATTGCTCGATTTATCTACCTCGCTTTTTACCTGCGCTAAAACTGAGGAAGAGCCTTCTACATGTCATCTTCAGATTCAGATCTGAATTGATTCCATGACCCCATTTGCCCCGCCACAAAAATTACCGACTTCAACTATCACCAAAAATCCAATTTTGCTCGGATTTTGGTAAAATTTACATTTTTGAGTTCCCAGATATGTAAATACTTGTGTGATCATATCCAATAGCAATCTCAACTTTTTTGAAATTTTCGAAATTTTTGGATATTCCACTGCTGATGAATTATTCGAAAAAATTCAAAATTTAAAAAAAAGTTGAGTTTGCTATTGGTTACGATCACACAAGTATCTGGGATCACAAACATGTACATTTTATCAAAATCCGAGCCAAATTGGACTTTGGTGATAGTTGAAGTAAATAAAAAAACCGGGCTTTTTTGTGTATTGGGCATCTTTTCGTGGGTGTGGCAGACTCAAATGGGGCCATGGAATCAAGCCACTTGAGGGTTTTAGTAGACTCATAGGGTACTCCAACATATGTATGCAAAGGGCATCAAGATCTGAAGATGACATGTAGAGGGTCTCTCCTCTTGAGAAATTTGGTTTTTACAGGAAAAATGGAGATTTTGATACTTCAGAAAAACAGTATCAAAATCTCAATAGAAATTAAATTACTTGGACATTTTTGTCGAATATTTTATCGAATATTTCGTAAAAAAATAAAGGATTATGATTGATTGCCACTGATATATATTAGCACACATTGCAAATTAGTGAAGATATGTATTTAACCAAACAGGGTTTATGAAGTTGACGTGAACACCCATTCTTTCAAATCGATATGCATATTCCATTAGCAAACCTAACCTGAAAATTAACGTAGGATTAGGTGACTCATCGTCACAGGTCTAAAAATCTTAACATTTTTACGCATTTCTCCGTTCTGGGAATTTATTTTTAAATTCTATCAGATCCATTTGTAGACTAGATCAGTACCAATTTATTAAAAATATGCACTCTAGATTTTGACAAGTTTTGAAGGAGGAGACCCAATTTTTCTGAAGGTGTTCACTCTTTTTGGGTCTCCTCCTTCAAAACTTGTCAAAATCTAGAGTACATATTTTTAATAAATTGGTACTGATCTAGTCTACAAATGGATCTGATAGAATTTGAAAATAAATTCCCAGAACGGAGAAATGCGTAAATATGCTCAGATTTTTAGACCTGTGACGATGAGTCACCTAATCCTACGTTAAGAAGGAGAACTGATGATGAGATTGCTCCATGGTCCTTCAATTATTTTCCTTGCTTACATTACTCATCTGTCTCCACGTTAAAAATAATGGTACAACTAATCTCATTCTTGTGAAAGAATTTTATTTATTTTTCAATGTTCAATTATACAGTTAATAAATATCAAGTACATAAATAGGATTACTTACACATAAATAACATTTATGTAATTATAGAAATAATGTCCTTAGCATATGGATAAACTCTATTAAAAACTCCATAATATCACAGACCAGAACTGTTATCTAGTATGTAACACATCATCTTTAATACTTATTACATCATCCCATTCAAATTCCCATTCCTTCGTAATTAAGGTTTCCATTTAATAAAGCGCCTGAACGAAATTTGTATTCCCACAGTTTTTTTATTCTATTTCTAACTTTGTACACTGACCCCCAAGTCTGATAGAGTAATATGCGGACAAACCTTAGTAATGCACTTATCTTCAAAAATTCGTTCCAATCCTACGACAAATTCTTCTTGGTAGCCTTTCAAGATTGTCAATTTCTTGGGACATAACCTTCCGGAGAACTCATTTCCAAAATATCCACCTTCTTTTATAAAGAAATCGGCAAAATTTCGGCTAAGATGCGGGTAAGAAACCATATTTGACATGAGATACATTCTCGATCTGTCCGCAATACTGTTAATATTTCTCATGCAATTTGAAATAGCTTCCCGCCCTGTCCTCTTATTTTCAAAGTCGACCCCTATTCTTATCACGCCATGAATGTCTTTCAACTGCCAGCCCTCCAAAAGAAAGTGCTCAACGGAATGTTGGACCGCGTTAAGGATGAAATACGTTAAAAGTTTCTCGATAAGTTTCCCTGCCGCTGCGACTCCTCGTTCCCGGATTAAATTTCCATTCAAATCGAAACAATTTTGTATTTCCCCCGTACCCAACTCTCCAGGGGTAACTTGTCCTTTAATTGGATTAGAAATTCAGAAACATACAATTGTTCAGCGGGATCCTCAATAAGTAATTGTACCACATTTCTCACAAATCTCTTAATCGGAAAGAGGAAAGCATTAATAAGTTTACGAAATGGGAGAACATCTTCGTAATCCATTTCACTGATAATATTTTCGTTTCTTGAATTCATGTAGCCGTCATAAATCGGGTGCTGACCCGTCTCACTTTCCCCCCACCCGTCGCAAATTAATTGAACTATACTGTGCACCCCGCCCCCCGAAGTGTCCACCAGCCACGGATAGTAAGGTGACCCCTCGGCGTACACGACGCTCTCCTTAAAATCAAACGCGTTAGAATCCACGCCACACTGGACGTACGAATGGACGCCAATTATCCGGTTGAGGACGGAATTGCAATGCAAATTTGTACTCTTGCTAAGCATGCTTTCATACGTGAGCGAGATGGGACTAGCAAGGGACGCATGTAACACGGTGTGCTGTCCGATGCCACAAATATAAATGGCGTTTAGGGGCGCGTGCAGTTTCGAAATTTCCCAAGCTACCCCATCTCCGGGGTAGACGAGGCGGAGATTGTTAAGAACTAGAGGAAAAGGCGGCATGTTTAAACTTTCCGAATTTTGGAGGGCTCTCGTCTCATCTAAATTTTCAATAGCTATTGACACCAGGACCACATCTCCGGAAGATCGTCGCCTCAAGAGGACTACACAGGGGCAGAGAACGGCTTTATTCCTCTTTCGTAAGGGAAGAGCATGAACCCCGGTTAAATCAACAATAAAATAATCGGCATCGTCCTTGTCTCTCAATCCGAATAATTCCCGGAATGGGGTCAATTCTGCCCGGTTCGGGTCAAGATGCGTGACCAATTTCGAAAAATGCGTATCCGTCCAAATTGAGATAAAATGCGAATCGCTGATTGGTCTCGGGTCTTGAATGGCGGCCTCGTCATATGCGAATTTTCCTCTTCCTGCCGCCATGTATTTCGTCTTCACGACGGAATTGTACTCGTACAAGACGTTCGGCGGGAGTTGATTGACGGGAATTAGGACGTGGCCAAGATGGAGGATTGGTTCGAAGTTATGCAAGGTTTTGAATTCTTGGGTAATTGCACCCGCGTAATTTCTCTGAATTAAATGCTCGATCTCTTTGTGTCGTAGTGTTGTATAGAAATTGATATATTCGGTCTCCGCTTGAGACGATGGCATCCCTCGTAACGACAACCAGTTCATTTTTCCCCAGAAACCACCACTCCCCCCGAAATTTGGTGATAGGGGACAGTTTCCAACGTTAGCTTGTTTGTAAAGCGAGTATAAACGAGTCTTATCCGATGACGAGATTAAGGCAGGATTTAGCAAGGGTACAAGTACTTGAGCGGTATTTTCAAATAGGATATCCAATTCTTGTTCTTGTGCGGGGGACAATTCTTTATTCGAATTTAGGTCGATTGGGGATTTCACACATTCAGTAACTTCGGCATGTTGTCCATTTTCCAACATTTTGATAGTCTGGCTTGTAATTTTCAAAAATTGAGACAAAATCAATTTCCCTCGAAGTATTATTCTTCCAGTCAGCATGATAAAGATTACGTGTAAATGCATGGTTAATTTCCTGGTAAGTAAACAAAAATTAATTACTTTGTTTTTTACTTCAGACAATAATAATTAACAAATAATCAAATTTTACTACTCACTCTAAATATTTCTAGCCACAGATTTTATTCTTTTCAACTTTCTCAAAGGGTTCAAAAACTATTGATTTGGTCGGGAGCATGAGATTGCTTTTATATCGATGTCGGGTCCACTAATGATGAGCCAGACGAGGAAAGGTTGCTATATTTTTTTAATTAAGTTTGTACCCGGATAAGTACATTTCAGACCTATGTAAATAGAATTAATACTGCTTTCGACCAGTAATTGTGGGCAATAAACAAAATATTTAATTGCAGCAATATAAATACGTGCATACGTAAACTTATGTACTTATCTTTAGCTGTTATTTTGTCAGTTACGTATTATTAAATATATTGCCTATATATATTTAAACCGGAATATTTAGAAATGAGTGTACCTCAAAAAGGAAAATTGGAGTATGCGTAATTTGTGTTTTTCATACACAAATTTCTACGTAATTGCACATTCGACGAAATGTGACGCAAATTCACATTAAGGTGTGTACATCCAATCATAAATTTGAGATAATTTCACATGCTAATGAGCAAATCGTCGGCAAAGCTTCAAACGAGCCGAATCTAACGTTGTAGGAATAGGAGATGACCTCTACAACGATGAAATGTACCTAAATTAACAGTCTGGGACATTAGTTGATTAATTTAAACGGAATTTTCCTTAAGAAAATGAAATGGTATGCAAAGTAATTAACCTGTTAATACTCAAAATCGACGTATGTAAATAAGTACGTATGTCCGAGGTGCCGACACTAACCTACGGCAAAAATCTGACGTGCAGCCAGTCATGAATCATCAGCACCATTTTTTCATATACTTCTAAACTCCTAATGTGACAAGATATTTATGTGTGAACACATTTATCTACACAGCTCAAGAATTTCTTTAGGTAGGAAATGTGCAAATAAATATGGACACACGTCAGCAAATCGCATGTTGAGAGGATCAGGTTTTTCAGGTATGTACATGTTCCACCATTTGGTTACGTATGTAAATATATATGCGCACAAGATAATCTTTCAATTTCGACAAGTATAGCTTGGTTATCATGTGTATTATATGCGTGATAAATCATGCGAATCAAACTACTTGCTATAGCCAACTGCACTGCATAATTGTTGCCATACGGCGAGGTCTAACAATTTTCCTTGGGTCATTCTCAACAAGAATTCTATGTACTAAAAGTACATTATTCATATACATAATTATTTGTACTAGTCAAATCATGACGAAATATAATTTATTTGGGGGAATAAACTGTAAAAATATAACCACTGGATGATGCATATCAATTTTAGTTATGACCAATCACAAAATTATCTTTTCATTTTGAGACGCACCGTAATCAATTGCCTCGTAACGTGTATTAACAATATTGCACATAAAGTTGAAGGAACATAGAAAATAAAATTTGTCAAAAGCGTTAGGCATGTTACACAGAATAAATTCAGTAATATATGTATGTACATATGTACATATCTATGTATGTAGTCCCAAACGAAGTCTATGTATTTACATACATAAATGCTATTTACACGGACATACCTATTTACATGTATAAATTTCCTAGGGAAACTGATTGTGATTTATAGTCAAATAAAATTTTTTGAAGTAGTATTCTGTCAGAAAGCAATTACGTATTTGTGACCCTGCTGAAAACAACATTCGTTGTAGAAAGCTTGGTCAAGTGGAAATAAAACTGTATAGTTTTTTAAAACCTAGTCCTCAAAACCGTTTGAAAAAATCATTTTAAACTTCAAGATGAAAGGATGGAAAGATATCAAAACAGATACATACATATGCGTAAATATATACGTATTTATGGCCACGATCCTGTGATCCTGTGATATATTGTGTTGTTATCTGGAGAAAGATTTGGGGGGACAAAAGACGCAAATACCTATCACAATTTCAAAAAAAGTTAGTTTTGTATGTATATGATAAAGCCACCCTCTGGACCCACAAGGGGGAAACTTATGAAGTTTATTGTCAAAATGAGAAACCATAGAACAATATTTAACCGTTATATCAATAACTTTCAGTGACCTTTTTGCTCATCCAAATTAAATCAGAAAGCGGACCAGATATTAAAATTCTGATTAGCAACCAGACGCAAAAACTCTCTCCCTCATTTCACTCATCCTTTCATCCGCTGAAAGAACTTATTCAATGTCATTCATCTCCTTGAATGGTCTCGATGGACATGGGATTCACAAAAGTATTGCTAATTTTGTCCTGTTGCTTTGTTTCAACTGTGTTCTGTCGAGGATGGGACGACTTGGTGAACGTCAACAGGTTTGGTTTTCATAATTTTTGGCGATTATTATTTTTTCACTAATTTTTGAATTAGGTTCACATTATTATTTTTTAATTATTATTATTTTTTTGTACTAATTTTGGATTTCTTAGAGATGTAGCTGACGTGAACAGGGATGGCGTGGTGACGAGGTGGGAAAGGGCTTCCGTAATAATGAAGTGGATCCACCCCTTCATCATATACACGGTTTATTTGCTGTCATCTACTCCCGTTATGTTGGGATATATTTTAGGAAGGATTTATGTTGATTTGATAACCACAAATTTGCCGCCGGTGCAAGATTTGTTGACAGTACCGGCTCAGTTATTATGAGTAAACATATAACGTATCCCCACGATTAAGACTTGTAAATTATTAATAATAACAAAAATTTAAGTGAGGATGAGTAATTAACTTATTAGCATTATTAACACTAACTTTTACACTTTATCCTTGTTTATTTATTTTTGTTTTAAATAGGTTTAGACATTTTGTATTATCTATTACCAGTATTTATTACAAGTAGGAAATAAAGATGCATGCATATATCGCAAATTTCATTTTTTGCGACTTATTTATATTCTTATAGCAATCTCGGAAGCCAGGAAAATTCTTCTTTTTTAGAATTATGTTAGGAGTATAAATCTAACATTTTTTATATTACAAATATTCTTGCAAAATTGGTGAGATTTCTTACTGAAAACCGATGAATGCAGTTGAATTATTTGTGTTAGTCATCTCATTTGTATATTTTGACGCATTCGCGAGAGATATAGAGTTCGAGTTTATTCAACACCATGTCGCCGAAAATGGACAATGTGATTTATGCAAATGATGTGACAAGCACAAGTATTTCCATTGAATATGTATGTGCATGGGAGTTGACTCGTCGCGAGTCAAAAACATAGCGATTCAATGCGAGCCCGGACACTCCTTAAATAGTTGAGCTCCGGGTATTTCACCAGCATTAATGTCTCCTCACGACAAAACTGGTCTGTGACCTTGTCTAAACCGGTTAATTCAGATAATTAAGTTGACGCGACGTAATTTACCTTATGTAAGATTTCGATCCTACATGCATCTGATGCATTCTCCAAAATGCACACATAAATATGCACATTTATTATGTAAAAACGGTTATTCCCCAGTTATTCGATACTCAACGTATATATAAATACGAGCAAAATTACGTGTAACTAGTGTAAGTAAATTATGCAAATCTTGTTAATCATTGCATAATTTTGAACACATAATCAAGCGCTTAGGTTTTCCTTAAACAATAAAAATTATTATTTTACTTCTTTCCTCCTCTCTAATTTTCTCTAATGTGTTCGAAATGTACAACCAAATCTAAAAATAAGGGATACATTTTTCCCGCGCGTTTCGCGAAGTTTGAGATGTTGAATTTTTTTTAAAGTTTTGTGAATAAATCAGACAACAATACATTTATTATATAATTGCCAACTATGCAAATTGTCTACCTAATATACAACTTTGGTGCGATTCCGAAACCTTGCACACGGATGATAAGCTTTTTAACCTAGCATCGAGTCATTCCAGTGTACAATATGACTCGGATTTGGCGCATTCCTCCAATCCATGGAGAGTCAGCGATACTGACTTTAGAGAACAGCCAATCGCTGACTCAGGGATTGGCTGTTCTAATTTTAGCTGCACACTTAAAAATGTAATGGTACATGCTAAGATTTTGAACGGATCGAGATAATCGAGATCGGTTTGCGGCATCATACATGTGACCGCAAACATGTAGCGTATGTACATGATCATTAACATCCATCAAGCAACTCACCGATTGGATCTGTGGTACATGCTTATTATCCTCAATTAGTGCACTAATTGATAATATTCTCTGCACTATAGTGCAGAGAATATTATCAACCATAGAGCTTATCGCTGGCTTGGTTATAACATTAGACAAGAGTAATATGTTACAAACATACCTTGTCTGTCTTTATTAAGTATTAGCCCGACAATGGAGAAATTAAGGTTGTTTGTTGTTTTGTTGATCCTAATTATCTATGTACATTCGTAAATATGTACATACATACATTCCATTGATTACAATTTTTCTCATAAAGTAATTACTAGGATCCCACGTATTCATCGAGGCATAAATCTGATCAAATTCTTTATTCAATTCTTTACATGTCCAGATAATGCATCTACATACCTATACATTCTTTTCGAAGTATTTACATAATTTTCGTTATTTTTGATCATGGACGCAATACGGAGGCTCCGCCACTAACACGTGAACGTTTATGACCTTAAATTACTGGTTGAACGGCTTGGAGTGGAGGTCCCGAACATGTTCTATGTGAGAGCCCTTTTCTCGAACTACAAGTCGACATCGGCGATTCCAACCTTTGTACACTGATTTGACCATGGTGAGGTCAACTTTAGACTACTAGTCTCTCAAAACGTTCCAAACTCCGTCAAAAGATTTCGGGTGGCGAAGAAAAGATTTTATTTCAGATATCCAAAGCCGAAAAAATCCATGGGACTTACATAGGGTGAATTAACAGGTATTTCACTATTTTGGATGATTGTTATCCCGAGTCTAGCTTTTAAGTCCTTGGCGTAATCCTGGGTCAAAAGGGCGGTGTGCGATGACGCTTCTTCGTGATGAACTATCACTTTATTTGAGTCCTAGCCATATAGTTTTGGAAGATGAATCTCCAAAAGCGGTTTTAAAACAAAGTCAATGAAGTACTTCGCAGTTACCTTCACTTTTTGTGGAACTTTGATAAGTGGGAGGAGACCACGACCAGATAATGCACCAACCACCATGAACTTGTTGCAAAACTTTTCCGTGTGCGGGATGGCCAATCTTCTGGAATTAATTTCTCCTTTGGTTGTATAGTAAATTTGTCTCTGACCGTTGGTATCTTGTAAAGAAAATATTTCTTCATCCAACGACACTAAACAGTCACTTTTATCTTTTGTCAGGTAATTCACATAAATTATTTTGCAGGTCAGACGACGATTTTTTTATGCTTCTCAGTCAGCTGATTGACTTGCATTTTTCTTCTTTTTTGCTTCCCCAAAATTTTAATTGCTCGTCGCACACTAGTCTCTGACACTTTGGTTAGACGTGCCACTGCTCTCTGGGGTGGTGGGTTGTCCTCAGAGGTCAATAGGTCAATTTTCTTAAGCACGGGCCGAATTAGCACTTTTCGGACTCGTGTTTGAGGCATGATGGTTGTCCTGTGGTACGAGCTTGTCGTTATTGACCTTCTTTTTTAAGTACCTTATGTATCCTTCCTTTCTAAACTTGTTGTCCTTGAGTTTTAAAGTGGTTAATTATGTCTGTGTACGAAATATTAAGTTTGGAAAGTGTTTTTATGGTACCCTCTTACTCTAAGGGCAATGGTAGGGTCATTTTTGAATCTAGAGAGCTAATTTTTTGCTCAGCCCTTGTCAACAATCACATGTCGCTATGCTCAAAATTTGGAACCGGAACTCCAACCCGTTTTGGAGCAATTCAAGAGTGACCGCGTTCACGTGTTAGTAGCGCATCCTGTATAACTTTTTGGGGAATGAAACTTTCCTTGATTTGCTTATTTCTTACGTTATTACAAAATTCAACAGAAATGTGATACCAATAAAAATTCTACAAACAATTGATGTAGGTAAATAATCCTTCAAGATAAAATTTTGTTACGAGCTGAATTACAATAGCAATTTACCTACATAGATACACCAAATCTAAATAGCTTGTTGATGCTCATGGCGTTCAAACACCCCTTTAAATAATTGCCTTACGGTTAAAGGGATACCGCTATAAAGCCAAAGTTAGCATATATTTCCATGAGTGTTACCATGTACGAGACTTTGATTTTCATGTCTTGCACATATCATATCATTGTACAACTCTAACAATAAGCGCAGCATGTCCTCGAACCAGTTAAGTAGATAGTAGGTAAGGTAATTAAAAATTCACCCATTGTTTTTAAAAATAGTATTTAAATCGAACCAATTGAATGCGTACATTTTAATATTACGCAGCCAAGCGCCAATTATGTACACTCGAAATTAATATTATATGCACATATGATGCAATAAGTGCTGGTGACGATTTTGTCGATTTTAAATCAAAGCGTTCCTGAGAATATCTAAGTAATTTCAGGAAAACTCAAACTTTTTCATCCATACGGATTAATTCCGAAATAAGGAAGAAATTGTTACTACTGTGAGGAAATTGGTAATTTTCTACTATTTTTCTATAACCATTGTTCAAATTCTGTGAAAACTTTCGTCCCCAAGTGATCTTATTCCTTGTTAAATTTGTAGAAATGAAGGAAATTTCTGTCCCACTGTTTTTGCTTCTGGCGACCCTAATTATTCTACCGACAGGTAAAACGTTTCTAAACGGGCATAACATTATTGTAAGAGAAATGTTTAAAATTTTATTTCCAGAATGCTTTCACACCCATTCTGCAAATGTTAAGACCGGGGGAAAAATTACAGATCAAGGAGGTCAGGGTGGCGTAGAAAGTCTGATAAGTGCACAAGGATGTGGCAAATCCGGGAAATTCTGTGGAGGTAATAGCAATTTAATATGTAGCATATTTAATTGCAATTTGACCAAGTCAGTTCGGAAGGTGTTCTCATTGAGGGAATTTACTTTTCTGAAAAGGAGTTGGCAAGTAAATCTGTGCAATCGGACAATCTCTTACGACACACTTCCTTCAATAATTATTTTCTATGTACTGGAAAATTAAACATTAAATCATATACTCTCATTTAATGCAGCGAACAATATCAACGATGTCAATTATGTACATATTTATGTATGGATGTTGAATCATATTACGTTCTCACATGCATATGTACTAACTTATTTACTAGATGTATAAATCATTCAACTCGGAGAAATCAAGGTAATCTTCTCATGAAGGTAACATGACTCGTTGGGCCTAATTGCATATCTGGAAGTGGGTGTGTACCTTAATACGTGTACCTCTTCTAATTGCCTTGTTTTTCAAGGTTAACGGAAGAAATCACCCAAAGGTTGGCACATACACAGTCGTCCAGCTTTGATATATGGATATGCTACATATGTACATATATTATATATTTAATTTACATAAATAGACACATATACTGGTTTATTAGGGACGAAATGAAAATCATTTCTCCGAGACATCTTATTCATTATGAGCAAATTATAAAATGTATTCATGGCAGACAAACATTTGTTAGATAATTGGCAGACAACACACCCAAACACAACTACGCATATTGTGTTCCTCCAAACTTTAATCATGCAACAAAATGTGAAAAATTAGCTAAGTACATACAATTTTTTCTCATAAACAGGTTTTATTCATTACCAATTTATGCATGTATGGAAGATAATCAAGCGCTTGGGTTTTCGCCAGCCAATTATGCATAATTCCATATGTTGATTAAATACATGTGAACCCATAAAACAAGCCTGACCTAACTCATAATTGTCTTAATTGGGTACGATTCAAGGTGAGTACCTGAACTTACATAATTTCTACAGGGTTCCGTTTCGAAACGCAATTCTCTGCGGACACTGGTTTTAATATGGTGTGAAGCAGGGTTTGGAAAACCCCGGGGTTTTTGTAGAAAAACCCAACCCCTGGGGTTTTTCCGGGGTTTTTGGGGTTTTTGTGGGTTTTTGGGTTTTTGTGGGTTTTTGTGGGTTTTTGTAGATTTTGGGGCAGGTTGAACCAGAATTCCTAAAATTATATATTAGAGATAAACTAATTTTATATACAATTTTAACATGCAATTTTAACCGTTATCATTGATTTGGACTGTTACATCGAAAATTTATGTTTGACATGTAAATCTGGATATATGCAATGATATTTGGAAATTCAAGTCGCAAATGAAGATTCTCAAAATTTCAAGATGAAGTAGAAAAGTTAATTAGCATTGATCTACGTTGTAGTTTAAGGGATTTTGTTTCAATCTACCTCAAAATCCTACAAAAACCCCGGAAAAACCCACAAAAACCCACAAAAACCCGCAAAAACCCCATTAAGCATTAGGGTTTTTCCGGAGATTTGATACCCCAAAAACTCACAAAAACCCCAAAAACCCCAACCCACAAAAACCCGGGGTAGCGAACCCTGGTGTGAAGTAGTATAATTATGTGAATGTGCTATGTAGATTGTAGGATACACATTTCTCCTTGGGTTAGGCCAGCTCATTAGGGCAAAAATTCAAGATTTGTGCAGTAAGAATTATTACTTTGTGGTCAGAGTTAATTTTAGGGTAAATTTTGGCTTAAACAGTAAATAACCGTCGCCGTTCCTACTTTTGACAAAAGTTAGCAGGTCACAGCAATCTTCAATAAGTTTCAGAATAGGTAATTGTTCTCAGATTTGCCATTAAAAAATGCATTATTCCCCCTCTTTGGAAAGCTTGCTTTCAAGTTGGAACCCTGCGTTGAAGAAAATCCTAATTAAAACTAATTTTTACTTGAATTTGGCTAGTTATCATTCTGCCTCCATCAATCTATATCATTCTCTTTGTATTTCTTTCAGGGAATGGAACGTGGTATTTTTCTCACCAAAATACATATCCAGGATGTTCTGCTCTACAACTGATTACAATTTCTCATATTTCTAGCAAGAATTGAGTTTCCAAATATAATTGAGTCAATTTCCTCAGGGTTACTTGTAAACGTAAATTTGTATTATTTATTCCTTTTCGGGCTATGGCCGATAGACTTAAATTTCTAAAAATTTAATTTGTGGTTCAACATTTTCTTCAGGACTACTTCAAGTAGACGGTGCTGATCTAATGCAGGAAACTCACTCCATGGCTGGGGACAATTACATTACAGAAAATTCCCTCCAATGCCACACACTCCCTAAAACCAATCATAAACTTACACACACTAACGGAGTCCATAAAGTGTACAAGATCATGGGACCTTACGAACCTGAAAAAAACTTAATTGCCCCATCATCCATCTCACAACCCCCCACCGAGCTAGAATTCGGATGGATTCCCCCCTACAAAACCAAGACGATCGAACCCATAACGATTTCCACGCGGACAGACCGTCTGAAATGGATCACTGCCGCAAAATACAACTTATTCAATCTCTCCACCGACCAAATTATCCTAGATTTCCTCACCGATTCGGGCACCGGAGCGATGAGTGCGCGTCAAACTGGGCATCTTATCACGGGCGACGAAACCTACGCGGGAAGCTCGTCGTTCTCCAATTTTACTAAAGCAGTCCAAAATTTTACCTCATTTCCCGAAATTATACCCGTCCATCAAGGCAGGGCCGCTGAGCGGATCTTGTTTAGCACCCTGGGCGTAAATTCGTCTCACGTTATCCCATCAAACGGGCATTTTGACACGACCCAAGCAAACATTCAGCTCCTTGGAGGCACCACGGTTGACTTTAAATCGACCGATGCCACCCTTTTCCAAGGAGGTATGGACATCTCCAAATTATCGACATTTTTAAAGAAAAATTCCGACCACGTCCCCTTCGTCATGGTCACCGTGACCAACAACACGTACGGAGGTCAGCCCGTCTCCATGTCCAACCTGAAAAAGGTTAGCAGCATTTGCGCCTGGTATGGAAAACCGGTGTTCATCGACGCCTGCAGAATCGCGGAAAACGCCTACTTCATCAAGCGGGACGAACCCGGGTTTGAAAATAGCACAATTTCCGACATAATTCGGGAAATGTTGCATTATTCGGACGGGATGACGATGAGTGCGAAGAAAGATGGCTTGTCCCACATCGGGGGCTGGATTGCGGTCAAAGATCCCGCTCTGGCGGAAAAATTGAAAGCCTTGCTCATAGTGACGGAAGGATTTTCCACGTATGGCGGACTAGCTGGGAGAGATTTGGACGCGATTTCACAGGGCTTACGGGAAGTCGTGGATGAGCAATATTTGGCCCATAGGATCAACTCGGTGGCGCATTTTGGTCAGATGTTGGTCGATCTTGGAATCCCAGTCGTGCAGCCGTTTGGTGGTCACGCGGTTTATATCGATGCAAACAAATTTTTGCAAGATTGCGTCAGTCCGCAAAATTTTCCGGCGCATTCACTCGCCATTCAGCTTTATATCGAGGGAGGGATCAGAACGTGTGGTCTGGGCAGTTTTGTCTTCCCCGAGAGTACGGATGAACTTGTAAGGATTGCCGTACCGAGACGGGTTTATGCCAAGGAGCATTTTGAATATGCGGTAAAAGTAGTTGCCAAAGTCTTCAGGGAGAGAACGTTGGTGAAAGGGATGCAAATTTTGAAGGAATCTGGACTTATGAGACATTTCTCGGCGGAGCTGGTCCCCGTTGAGGAAAATGATTGTGTGAATTATTCCTAAATTTATGAATTTCTTTAAATAATTTTTATTGGTTTGGCACACACACTATATGTACGCAGAGTTTATTGATTAAATATCTGTTGCGCTTAACTAACAATTTACAAATTATTTATGTATTCTTTGCAGGGAAATATTATGCAATTTCTTACTTGTTCTAATCGTATTTAAAGATAATTATTAATAAAATCATTAATTGATCAGCTAATGGACACAACTTCATGCACATATGTATATACCATACATGCATATTTACATAGGTATATACATATGTAAGATGTATGTATGTACAAAATGCGTTTATCGATATGTGCATATCACAGATATAAGTATTCCATAATTACAATGAAATTTACCCGACTCCACTTCGACATCAGATCAAATTGATTACTATTCTTGCACCATCCAAGCACACAACGTTACAATATTCGAGATTCTTCGATGTTCGACACGAGCTCAAACCTTTGGCCGGCCTTGAAAAATGATGTCATTAATTTATGTATGCAGTGTCAGTAGCAAGCCTTATAAATAATTAGATTCTTGTTGCACACCACATTACAACATATATGTATATGTAGCTCAACGTGTGCAAAAATTGTTTTACAAATCATTCCGTAAAGTGGACAATTACATCATTACACAACTAAAGTAACTGTACCGTTTCAGGTAATGACTTGCATAAATTAATATTTTTAATCGTTCCACACGTGTGACACAATCAGTACAACCTGATTGACATGAAACATCGGTCGGGATGATAACATTGTTGCAAACTGGGTATATAACAGACCTCAAAATGAAACGATTTAGTTAACCGGTTTCGAATCGAAGATATCCCAAAATATCAAAAAGTACCTAAAAACAAAACCATTTTTTGAAAAAAAATGTCTCTAAAACATTTTTCTCTTCTCGCTACCATCACGGCTGTCTTGCTGGTCGCCGTAAATTGCGGCATTTTGACGCAACATGCCGATTCCGTACCGGAAAATTGTCTCAAAAGAAAACCAATCCAATCAAACTATACTCCAGAAGGGAGTGAGATCACTCTCGGAAATCTGACCATTTACGAAACCACTGAGAAAAATTCGACCCGGTTAATCATCTCGATCTATGATGCCTTCGGATTTAGTAACAACAACGTGAAGGAAGTTGCCGATAGACTTTCCAAAGTTCAGGGAGGATTTCGCGTAATTGTGCCAGATTTTTATAGGGGAGAATTTTGGCATGGAGATCCCGACGTCTTCCCACCTCCTGAGTAAGTCGACTGCAAAAATTAATTTGTACCCGTAGTTAGATTTTCATTAATTTGTTCTTACTTCCAAATGTTGCGAAGATTCGCTTGTTGGCTTCTGTATTTTTCGAACTAAAACTAATCCTGGAAATGCGCAAGTTTGCAAATGATTTCCGAAGTCAAAGAAATTTGCGAACCTTGAGAACTTTACACTGTTAGAATTCTGGTATACGTGGGTGTTTTATTATTAATTTTCAAAAGGTATGTTCCGAACTGTTTCTCACCAAAATTTTGATGAAAGAACAAACTTCAAATACATTTAGGAGGCTGTGATTTTTTTCAGTTCTGTAGGTTAACATTAACACTAGCAATAACTCATTAAAATTTACCTCGAAAATATGCCAAAATTTACGACTTCATATCACTATCATCCGAAAACCGTTTTCCCCTGATGTCTTTCTTTAAGTTTCGAAACGAATAATAATCACTAAGGGTCAAGTCTGAACTGCACGGGGTGTGGTTTGTGCAGGTAAAGCGATTTTCGTCTGCACTATCCCTCGCAAAAAGCCAGGTATGAGGAGGAGCGTTGTCGTCTAAAAAAAGGCCAACTCTATATTTTGACCCCACGTTTCTCTTCAACCGGAGGACGCAGCTCCTTCTGGGTACCTGCATACGCGGCCCCATTTATTGTAGTATTTCCAGCAATAAATTTTATAAGGAGGGGACCTTTGATATCCTTGAAAATGGTCATCATCAATTTTTTGTCAGATTTTTGCACTTTTCAATTCTCGGGCGGTGGCAACCCCTCCTGCTTCCATTGAGCGAATTATTATTTGGTCACCGGGTCATAATAGTAAACTCAGGTACCATATTTAGCTAATAAAATATTGAGCAGGTTCAAGTCTTCATTTAATAGGTTAAAATTGGCATTGCAAAAGTCGACTCGATCATGTTTTTGAGATGCCGAAAGCAATTTTCGTACCCAACGGACGGAATCCATTTTCATACCTAAGTCTTCAGTTAACATGGAACAAATTGCTGGTTTTGGAACACCCATCTCATCTGCTAAATAGGACAGTTTCAATCGCGGATCTCTCATTATTGGTTCTTCTAGTTTCCGGAGCCTTTCTGTGGAAGAAACGGATTTTGAGCGTCCTGGCGACTTTTTGCCCGAGACCTCGTTTCGCCATCATTTAAAATTATTAACCCAATTGAATTTGTGTTTTGTGTTGGGCAGTTTTCATCGTAAATTTTAAGCATTCAATCATAAATCTGCGACACGTATTGCCCATCCAGCATTAAAAATTAAATCACACTACGATATTTAATTTGCAAATCTAGCATTTTTTCCGTCGAGGTAAAGTTTGCCGATTTATTGCTAGTGTTTATGCTAACCCACAGAGCTGAAAAAAATCACAGCCTCCTAAATGTATTTGAAGTTTGTTATTTCATCAAAATTTTGGTGAGAAACAGTGCGGAACATACCTTTTGAAAATCAATAATAAAACACCTACGTAGTTTTGCGGGTATTGATTTTTCGGTATTAAAGTTGTTATCGCTTGGTACTTCAATTATACGGGTCAGTACAAATTTGCTACTGATATGGTAAAACTTGAAGACCTAGCTATTCTTACTTATCAATACCACTTTGGTAGTATTGTAGGAATATCGCCGGATACTATGTCAATACTAGTGAATTTCTAAGAGAACCCCCAATATGAAAATGTCTTAAAATTTCCAACTATTTAATAGACCACTTGTTTATTGCATTTTATTGCAGCATGGAAGACCTACTAGCTTGGTTGGAAGAAGTCGGCAGTTGGGAAGACCGGGTGCAGTGGGACTTGATAAATATCGTGGAACATTACAGAGCCGAAGGTGTAGAAGAATTTGCAGTTTATGGAATGTGCTGGGGTGGCACGATGTCACTTTTAGCATCAATTTATTTGCCTGATTACCTCCGCGTGGCGGCGTACATTCACCCGACCTTAATTCCGGACGAGTTAGCTCCAGCCGTGAGAATTCCAACTTTCTTAATGCCGACGATGGAGGACCCCGATTTGGTGGGTGATCTAATTTTCAATTAATTTCCTTCATTTTATATTTTGCGGATCTTCAGTAATTATGTAATTTTGTACCACTTTAGACCCAATTTTATGAAATTTTACGCCAAAACTTTGGTAACAACACGGCCCATTGGAGATTTGAAGATATGTTGCATGGATTTGCTAGTGCGAGAGGAGACTTCAGTGATCCAAGGACTGCTTTAAGAATTGAAGAAATGATAAATCTCCTGGGATTTTTCTTCAATCGGATTTTAAACATTGGGAAGTAATTACTGCGAGTAAAATTAGCAACAAACTAATTTGGAAGTGTTGAAATAATGGAATCCTAACAATTCCAAATGTTTTCGAATCCCAAATTACAAAAGGTTTAATTTTCAGAATAATAAATCATGTAAATCCTTAGAGTGTGTTGCTCTCAAGTTGGAATAAATACCGTAATTTATGCAAAATCAATTAGAAATGCAATTCATACCCAACGCAATATCATATGCAGCTCACATATTGATTTCTTACGGTCGTATTCTGAATACAAAATTTCCAACCTGAGTGTGAGTGGCCACTCCCACTCACCATGTTAAAGAATACAAAATGTGAGTGGCCACTCCCACTCACTGTCAAAATTTTGCATTAAGAATACGACCGTTAGTCTTAAATAAACTAATGTGGCAATTCACGTCAACCGGCGTAACTCCGTAATCACGTATATAGATATGTACTTAAACTTACGAAAATCACCTTACAAACTAAAAATATGCCTTTTATCATCGAGATGTTCATAAGTTTCGTAAGTTTACGGACTTATGTACGAAGGTTAACGTGAGTTCCCTCAATGTTTATTTTAAAATAATGTTTACTTGAGGCGCCCATGACGCTCTAAATTTTGCGCATTTGCATAAATACATATGCAAGTGTCACCTCAATGTTGCATCTAAAGAGCTGGTCTCTCAAACGGCAATGGTCAAAAAATAATCCGGATCGAACATGGTTTGCCTCTCCATACTGTCAATAGTTCGTCATACTTTTACTTTTGGATTACTGGAACCAACGGCCGTGTGTACTCATGTATGTTGCATAATGTTGTACATATTCAAATTATTGCAAATACTTAGTCATACCAATGATGAGATATATCGCTCCACCATCTATCTACATACATAGCCCAAGTATTTAATTGAGATTAAGGTTTCATCTAATTACTAGTAGTGACATTTGAAACAAGATTAATCCAGGCTACATACGTTTAACAGATGTAGTAAATAAATGCGTAAATTCATATGTAAGAATACATATGTATTACAACAGAATTTATAATTTAACACAATTGTGTAATAAATCTTTATTGGGATCACTTAATTATGATAAGTACTGACGTATGTATGTAGTGTTTGTTGGGAAACTCCCGAGATAAAGCAAAACAATCACTTCCACACCTGTAATCTCGTACGTATTGCGTACATTCCTTAAAATCTGATGCAAAAAATACTGACTTTATTTTTCATAAGTATACCTTATCTAACAAATATCTACCAAATATTCTAAACTATGATTCCGTATCCAAAACCATGATTTAAATCCTTATCGACGTCGTCAGTATATGTGGACCTGAATCGCAACGCAACATTCCACAAGGTCGTTTTCATAGTTCGAAAGTTCTGCTTCGAGACGAATCGTATTTCCGGACATGAGGTCATTCGGGGTGATGGCGTACGCAATAGTGTACAAAAATCCCGGCTGGACGGATGACCCCTCGAGAATGGTGTTGATAATGTCGATCGCATACCCGAGATACACCGCGGTCAAGCGGAGACGCAGATAGGACGCCGCCGAGCTGGGAATCATGTCGACGGAGCAGGATTTAGGCATTCCTGGCGTCACGTAGCACAAGGGACCTTCGCAATTGTCACATCGCACGGTTCGACATGAACCAACGCCACCTAGAAAATTTAGTATTTATTTTTAAATTATGCAAATATTTTGGAATTGAATTAATTGGTAATAATTTAATACCACATCTGGTATGAACTACGATCCCGGCGAAGGTGGGCGCTATGCAGAATGCTAGCACAAAGATGAGCAGTGACTTATTCATCATGGTGAGATTGAAGTTTTGAATTTTTTTTGTACAATTTAAAAAAGGTGTGTAGCAAATACTTTACACGAGTTGGAATGACAGAGGTCTAGATAGGTTCGGGTTCTTGGTATATTATCGTTTGAAAAAGGTTATCAGGATAATCTCTTTGTTGAGCGGGGATAATCCTGCTGGTCGTCATGCTGAGGTAAACAGTTTAATAAACTTGAATATGTGGGGTGGGTTCGGTTGGTGTAGAGTACTACAATACGTCAGTGATCTGGTTGTTGCTGGAAAATTTAGGGATTAAAGCCACTACGTATTTAGTTATTTATCTGGTGTAATTGCGGCTTAATTATGTAATTATCCACAATTGAATTAATCTGAGGATTGCGATATGCTTTGTACTAATGGTCATAGCATGTATCGTTTTGTACATTTGTATTTTATTGACTTTTATTCAGGTTATGACGCGTTATCAAGTTTTTATCACAAATTGGTGAGACTAGAGGGCGAAACGTGTGCAAATACATATATAAGTGTATATGAATAAGTATCATGAAAACTAGCGATAAAGCTTTAAATGAGGGAAATGGGGACTTGAGTTACGAGGTCCCTTCAAACTACGGTTCAGCCAAAATTAGTAAATAGTCTGAAAAAAATCTGAAAGGTTTCCTGGCAGATTATTCCATAACATTTCTAAAAAACCAAAAAACCTCTCAGAAAAATTTCCAATAAGGAATTAAGATTATTAATATTGGCTGAACAGTAATATCCACTTGTGTATGTGTACATAGTCGGGTACGAAATTCTTTGATAAACGTTTTTTACTGCAGAAAAATAACGGGTAAGAATTTTTAATTAAAATTTTCCATCTGGATGCACAATATACCTGTGTATAATATAAAAATACTACCTTTCCAAATTTCCTCTCCTGGAGTACACACGCTTGAGAAATCTGATGGACGGCCGGTCGTTTGGAGCACGCGCGGTTTCTACCGGAAAATGGTCACAAGCGTTGAGAAACAAAATTTGAGAACTTCTGCACCCGTGGAAGTTTTAGAGCAGGCCATGGTCTCAATTTTAAGCCGCAAGTCATAATCCAGATGATTAAGGTCTGCTATTACCAATGGAATTTTTTTGACCAAATAAAATCGATGAAATGAGATCATAGTCGATTTTGGACAATTTTTGCACAATATGGCTGAGCCGTTACCTTTTAAGAAATTCAGTTTCTATTTTTCAATAGGCCGGACTTCAAAGGTTTTACACTAAGTTTTGCAACTTTGGTAATGTAATTCTTGGCTTGCGCTGTAACCCTTTCTAGAGAAAAACAGGGTTTCGCTTTCTCCAGCAGAGTAATTCAAATCCAAACCATCAAAGACTTAGGGGGATGAGATCTTCGACGTTTTCTATTTGCCAGGGGTATGTATGATTTTTGCTTAGTGCAAATTCTTTAATTTTCTTTGTTAAATTTACGCAAAGCTTGGGATAAGTTTCCACAGGAAAGTGTGCGTAATCCGAGCGATCAGTTTACCATCAGATTTTGTAAGTGTGTGTGCTCCAGAAGAGGAAATTTGGATATTTAGTATTTTTATATTATACACAGGTATATTGTGCATCCAGATGGAAAATCTTAATTAAAAATTCTTACCCGTTATTTTTCTGCAGTAAAAAACGTTCATCAAAGAATTTCGTACCCGACTAGGTACATATATCCCAACACACATAATTTATGTAACGGGATATGTATAATATTTATTTTATCGAGTAATAATAGCTAATGTACAGTAATTTAAATGTAATAAATTGATACATATGTAATTCTATGAATATAATTAAATATTGAAAACTCTGAATATACATAGATACATACATACAAAACTTCATAAATATTTGGTGCACAAACTTCTGCAAGTATGCATTATGACTACTCAATATTTGCCCAATTTTCAATAAGACTGACACTATCTAAGCTCTCTATGGTATGATTTTCACCATTAATCTCAATCACATCGGTGCATTTAATGTCATTCAAGACATGTCTGCTCCCGAAGATGAGCGAATTGCGTAAATTAGCATGCACAATTGTACATTCCTTAGAATCTGCTGATATATACAGACACACGGGGACATATCTTTTACGGAGGTCATCACTTTCCTGATCTGTGCGAACTATTGAATTTTCAAATTCTTCAGCACCCCTGCATTTAATCAGTTTCAAAACATTTTCATCTCCGGATATATAAATCCCGTCTTTTTCAGTGTGTCCAAAATTTTCAGGATGCAGGGTTTCCACATTATGAAACACATTTCTATTCCCTTTAACGTAGGATTAGGTGACTCATCGTCATAGGTCTAAAAATCTGAACATTTTTACGCATTTCTCCGTTCTGGGAATTTATTTTTAAATTCTATCAGATCCATTGGTAGACCAGGTCAGTACCAATTTATTAAAAATATGCACTCTAGATTCTGACAAGTTTTGAAGGAAGAGACCCAATTTTTCTGAAGGTGTTCACTCTTTTTGGGTCTCCTCCGTCAAAACTTGTCAGAATCTAGAGTGCATATTTTTAATAAATTGGTACTGACCTGGTCTACAAATGGATCTGATAGAATTTAAAAATAAATTCCCAGAATGGAGAAATGCGTAAAAATGTTCAGATTTTTAGACCTATGACGATGAGTCACCTAATCCTACGTTAACAATTAAATTTTTACAAATTATGTTTCTAATAACGTTTTCATCACCAATAATTGTCAAAGATTCCAAGGTTAGATTACTGATATTACAGGAATTTGCTCTAATTTCCAAATTAAAATTCGCTTCAGCAGAAGCATTTGCACCACGGAAAGTTACATTATTCACTTTACAGATGTAAGAATAATCTCTGTATTTACGACTAATATTTACGATGTCACCTTCGAATAAGAACTTGAGATATGGCAATTTCTTCGGATTTAACTCAAAAGTACGTTCAAAATCGTACGCAAAACTAGTCTTCTTAATGATCGTCATTCTATTTCGAGCGTGTCTGTTAGTAAGTTTAATAATGACCTCTGCCCACTTCGGAAACCACCAATTTGAACGTTTGACCAGATTTGTTTGTGAGCCATTCACTAATCTGTGAAACATCGCTTCTGTATCTTCCTGCCGAATTATCTGGAGAATTTCCCAGGACATCAAACCAAATGAGTGCAAATCTGCTGTAATGCCGGAGATCCCATAATTTTCAGGAGGTCGATATCTATATTATAAGCGAGAATGTCTGTTGGCAACGGAAGTGAAAGTAAATTTGTCTGTGACGGAAGTTTGTCCGTCACGGAAGTGAAAGCAAGGAAAGTTAAGTTTCGAATGGCGCGAAAATTCAAAATTAATTAAATTCAAAAAATTAAATGCCAGAACCTGCGGTACTCTTTGTGGCATATTTATGTGGGGGTTATCTAGGGATGGTGGTTATCTGGGGAAGGTGGTTGTCTGGGGTGGGTGGTTATCTGGGGGTGGGTGGTTATCTGGGGTGGGTTGTTATCTGGGGGTGGGTGGTTATCTAGGGATGGTGGTTATCTGGGGGTGGGTGGTGGTCTGGGGAAGGTGGTTGTCTGGGGGTGGGTGGTTATCTAGGGAAGGTAGTTATCTAGGGGTGGTGGTTATCCAGGGATGGTGGTTATCTGAGGGTGGGTGGTTATCTGGGGGTGGGTGGTTATCCGGGGATGGTGCATGGAATAGCATGGGGATGGTGGTTATCTGAGGGTGGGTGGTTATCTGTGGTAGGTTATCTGATGGTGTTAGGGCCAAGGTGTCAAATTCCACTATCATTGGTGGTACAAGACTTCAGGTGGCCAGGAGGGCCGCCCGGGCCGGGACGAGCCATCGGGATCAAATCCCATAACGTCTGAGCATTGGTGGTCTCGGTGGGCGAGTCGCCCTCAGCCGGGACGAGCCACCGGGATTAAATCCCATAACGTGGAAATGTCTTTCTGCAACCGAAGTGAACGTAGCGAACGTTAAGTTTCGAATGGCGCGAAAATCCGTCTTTTACCAGAATATTACCCCTGGTGGTGGTAACTGTTATTAGTTGCCTGATGATATGGGGTTATCTGGGAATTGTGGCATTGTTGTGGTTATCGGCGCGTTCCTGCCTGATCGGGTCCTTACTGCGTGATTGGTTTTATCGAGGCGTGGCACCATAGTGGGAGTTATCGAGGCTTTGCTGTCTGATGGTGGTTATCGGGGTGTGGCGCCTGATGGGGGTTATCGGGGTGTGGCGCCTGATGGGGGTTATCGGGTCGTTGCTACCTGATGGGGGTTATCGGGTCGTTGCTACCAGATGGGGGTTATCGGGTCGTTGCTACCTGATGCGGGTTATCGGGTCGTTGCTACCTGATGGGGGTTATCGGGTCGTTGCTACCTGATGCGGGTTATCGGGTCGTTGCTACCTGATGGGGGTTATCGTCGATAACCTATCGAGGTGTGGCGGCCTAATGATGGTTATCTGGAATATCTTAGCCAGTCGGCCCAGGCAGACAGGAATAGTCCAACATAGTATACTAACAGTATCGGGGGCAGTCTGTTGTGGCAGAGAAGCAAAAGTCTGCCGTTTGGACTTGCAGAGATAACTGAGCCAAATGGGGTGTCAGACAAACTGCCAATGGCACTGCCATTGCCACTGTCAGACTGGGCTTGCCAAGATGACAGACTCAACTGGGTGAAATTTAATTTTCCACTTTAACTTTCGTTGCAAATTGCTTTCACTTCCGTTGGCGTCAAATTTAAAAAAAATAAATATATATAAAATATTTAATTGATGAAATTTTGATAATCTAACTCTCGCCCGGCGGCAGACGGGCTTATACCCTATTGGTGGGCGAGTCGCCCTCAGCAATGACGAGCCACGGGACTAAACCCCATTACGGATGAGCATTGGTGGGCGAGTCGCCCTCAGCCACGACGAGCCACCGGGACTAAACCCCATTACGGATGAGCATTGGTGGGCGAGTCGCCCTCAGCCACGACGAGCCACCGGGACTAAACCCCATTACGGATGAGCATTGGTGGGCGAGTCGCCCTCAGCCACGACGAGCCACCGGGATCAAATCCCATAACGTCTGAGCATTGGTGGTACAAGATTTCAGGTGGCCAGGCGGGCCAATGTCCAAAATCCAAGTTTTTGACATGGAATCACAGCAAAATAGGCCTGGTAATTCCCGATAAATAGAAATTGACTAGCTAGGATCGTTAAAGCTTCAATTTTCATTATGGCGGGAAAGCTTACTAACATTAGTGAGGTTTTATTGCAAAATATGTCCAAAATTAATTTTAAATTAAATTACAGAACGCGTGGTACTCTCTGTGGTTATTTATCCGGGGGTGGTGGTTATTTAGGGGTGGTGGTTTTCTGGGGGTGGTGGTTATTTAGGCAAGATGGTTATCTAGGGGTGGTGGGTTATCTGGGGGTAGTTAAGTAGTGAGAGTACACGGCCCGGCCCTCCTCAGCCCAGCCCAATCTCATCTCATAGTTAATGAGTAGTACACGGCCGCGGCCCGGCTCGGGCCGGGGCGGCTCGCCCCAGCCCAATCTCACCCACAGAATTATACTACTATATCTAGAAGACGTACTGGACGAGCGATAGTAGCCACTTTATGAGCGCCCGTCGTGGTCCTCAACCCAACACTGGTGTATTGCACACCAGGGCCACGGGTTGTTGTCTCGAGCAATTTAATACACAGATGGGTATGTGCACCACCGTCACTCCAGTTGAGACACAACTATTTCTCTCCAATCTAAACTAAAGACAGGCCCCTTGATCTCACCTCATAGTTAATGAGTAGTACACGGCCGCGGCCCACTATCATATCGACGATATGACTATTCATAGCGACGATTGCCGATATGCAGCTTGCGCAACGGACAAATTTCTTTCACTTCCGTTGGCATCAAATAGTTTCAGTTAATAAATATCTACAAAAGATTTCGTTTGTGGAATTTTGAAAATAAAATCAACTCGCGCCCGGCGGGAGACGGGCTTATACGCTAGTCTAGCATATCTATGATCGATAAAGTGTTCATCCTGAATCATTCGGCAGACGCCAAAGTCTCCCAATTTAGCGGGAAATGCGAACCCAGATGGAGAGTAGGAAAACATAATGTTTTCGGGACGAATGTCTATATGTATTATTTTATGGAGGTGAAGATACTTTAGCCCTTGATATATGTCCCAAACTGTGTGCTTTCTAAATCCCGGGTTCGTCCGAAATTCCGGATTGTGGACGTCATTATTTATGTTCAACCATTGGCGCAACGACTTACCGCATAACTCCATTTGAATGCAGAAGGATTGAATTTGGCCGCTTTGAAGAGATCTAATTGTTCCAAAACGTTATAATTGCCTTGTGGATATGGACTATTTAGCAAAACTTCAATATCTTCTGTGATTAATGGCTTATCGGATGACTTCAAGATTTCGACTAAATTTTCATGTTTCTTTCCGGTCATAAGTTCATATTCTCGAGATAGTCGACTTTTCTCAGCGTCCAGCTCTTCTGGTGTGCTAATATTGGCGTCGATAAAGACTACTTTGACAGCGGAAACGGCGTGTTGTCCAGAAGCCTTAAATACAGTACACAAGAAAATTTACACAAGAAAATCTTAATATAGTCGAAAGAAAATCAGTTTTGAGCTGAATCTAAAGCAAAAATAAAAATTACTGCCTGGAAGACGCAGCTATAGGCTCCAGATCCCAGCAAGGATTCCAAAGTGAGGTGGTCGAACCAAGAAGTTGGTGATGAGTTGTCTGCATCAGCTTCCATTTTTCTGCAGTAATTTAAAAACTTTTTTCTAAATTTGAACGACGGAAATTGGCGAGTGGAGAGAAATATTATATATGTAAAGTGTGAAACGTGTATTTAAGTATGTCTGCAATATGTGTCAGCAAAAAGATAAGTAAGTGCATCAATACTTTACATTATATCTCCGGATATAAGTAGATAGGAAAACTACGCCGTTGGTAAATAAATGTTGGACAGATTGATGGATGCATGTGCAGATATTAAGGGATAAAGTGGTCAATCGCCAAATTCACATTACATACATATATTCAGATATTTATAAATATGTATTTAAGTATGTATAGTATAGTGCAAGCTGGGAAATATGTATTTGCAGAAGTCTGTGATGCAAACGTTGATAAATAAATTTTATTACGTTGGTATAGACAGGCTTGAATTTAAATACATTTACACATACATATGTATGTAAGAGTTGGAACATTGTGTGAAATTCGTTTGTTACTTACGAGTTGAAAATTATGCAGTGAAACGCAATTGCAGGAATGCGGGACGATTATATCTTACACCTCGTCGTTGAATATGCATTTGGACACAACTCCAGTGAATAATACAGTCAATGGAAAAAGTATTGGCAACCCCCACGCTAGCTAAATAAAATTGGCTATAAACTTGGAATGTATTATACAATTGGCATGAAAATGTGTTCGCATTTCGCAAATATAATGTAGTTTTCGATTCTAATCATGATTTATTAATTAAAATTAGATAAACACAGTTTTTTAATAATTGGTTGGAAAATTTGCAAAATTAACCCGCAAAAAGTATTGGCAACATGTGGCCAAATTAATTACGCGAAACAACTTTCTTAATGACCTACCACATTTCATTACGGAAAGTTAATTAGGTGACAAAATATGATGATAGCTACATTTTAAGTCAGCAATTGTGTTGTCTGGAACCAAAATGGCGACACCTAACGAGCTGTATTTGGTGCAGTGAGAAATATTCATTTCTTTTTCGCAAACAAAAGTTGGATATCGAAAAATCAATGGAAAATATACTTTTTCATATTTACTATTGGAAATGTAGCCAACAAATATAAAATGACAATTTTAGTTTCTGCTTTTCCATGATGCGGAATAAAAAAGTTACCTACGCCAAACGCAAATGATGTATCAAGCAACAAATTTCTTGAAATCGGAAGATTTCAACACCACAAACCACTTAGAATTTGAGAACCAACTGTGGAGTCAATATTTCATACAATATGGTGATCAATCAAAAATCATGCCATGGGGTTTCAGGGTCCAGTAGCCCCATAGAAGAGAAGGCTCCCGAAACGAACCAACTCAAGGTATTTAAATCAGCTAAATACCACCCTAAATAGACTTCCAATTGATGAAGAAGGGTCTAGGGGTCTCAAATAAGCAAATCTAACTTATTCGGTGTGGGTTGGATGGTTAGAGTTTGGAGGATGCAAAATGAGGCTCTCAAAAATGAATGCTGCCGTCTGGGAGTCAAGCTCGGAATAGGATCGATTATGGTTTGGGGTTGAATGACTAGGTGGTTGCGTAGTTAGCTGGGCACTATTGATGAAGTTATGACCAATGAGGTCTAATTAATCATTCGAAACGAAAATTTGAAAACATTTGACAAAAATCTGACCTAGGAAGTAATTTCATATTACAAAAATGCAGTGGCCCCAAAACATGCATCCACATTAACGATGCAAATTTTTGGAGACCGAAAAGGTTAAGCTTCTTTCGTTAGCTGCACAGTCTCCCGATGTGATTCTGATTGTCCGGGATGAGAAAAGAGAGACTGGTGGGAAATCACTCTACAAAAAACGAGCTTGTCATAAGTTCGAAAGAAGATTGGGAAGCCATATCCAAAAGGGTTATAAAGAAATTTGTCCAGTCAATTCCAAGGCGTATATCTGCTCTTATTGCATCGAGGCGAGGTGCTACGCGGTACTGGAAGCAGTTTATCGAAACAAAACTGCCGTATCTTTGATAATGACTTTTAAAGTTAAGGGTTGCCAATACTTCTTGCGGGTTAATTTTGCAAATTTTCCAACAAATTATTTAAAAACTGTGCTTATCTAATTTTAATCATTAAAACATGATTATAATCGAAGACCACATTATATTTTGTAAATCCGTACAAATTTTCATGCCAATTGTATAATGCATTCCAAGTTTATAGCCAATTTTATTTAGCTAGCGTGGGGGTTGCCAATACTTTTTCCATTGACTGTACATGTACATACATTTGTACATATGTATGTCTGACTGAATGTAATGCTCAAATTTTAAATTTGTTTCCGAATGCATATACAATGATAAAAAACAGCAATGATATGAAATTAATGCAATATTACGTACCTGTCTATGTGTACCTTTACATTTACACCTAGATGGTAAATATGTATGTAGGTATGTATATACTTATGTACTAGTATACATATGTATGCATGTACATACATTTGTAGACTGTCCTTTCTTGCAACATTTGATGCACCAAAAGCCAACATTTTCAGATTTCCATGGATGGGAAATATTTATGTAAGTTGTGAATCATATTGCGGTGCATCGAAGTAAACGGGACAGAATTTCTACGCGCCAAAATCAGGGTGCCCATTTGATTAACATTGGAGGCGGGCTGAAATTCAAATCAAATCTGTCCCGTTTACTTCGAGAATTCACAATACTTCCAGTGGTAAAGCAATGATGGTATGTATAAAACGTTAAGCGTATATGGACATTTATCATTACAACATCGTGGCATCCATAATTGAATTGTTTGCATATTTATAAATATAATAACATATCTAATACTCTATGTGCCACAATGATCAAAAAGTGTTGGAAATAAATTAATCAAAAATGAAATTCCTTGTTCCCCAATGAGAAATCACATGATGTAGGATATAATGTACAAATATACCCTAATACTTAATACAATTAACTCTATTAGCACAACAAAAAACTCGAGAGGCCATTTTTTAGTTTTATCCTGAAAACATAGGAAAAATCATAATGAAATCTTTATCTCGATTCAGAACAGTCCCACCAAACCGCTTTTATAAGGATAATCTAGCTGGAAATGCGCGCTTGAAGTTATTTATTCAGTGAACTTTGCTGTTTATGAGTTTAATCAACGATATTTTTCATACGTTGGGTAGGAATTTCCTTCTTATGGGAATAACTTATTCCGAATAAGGATATCATGCACATACTGATTTAACAAATTTACCTGTCAGAATCTATGCATATTGCATACGTATTTGCATATCTAGTAATCTACTTGAGTCTGAAAAATAATTTTATTTACACTTCTTTGTTTATTTCTCTACACTGGTTTCTCAGCCTTTATTCGCAAATTCCACTGCATATTTAAACTGCCTACTTAGCTGGTTTACCACTTACTAGTCTTCATGCTTCCAACCTGTGCAAAATCAAATTTTGCAAATTTAAAAAAAAACATACGTGCAAAATTTCAAGTGAATTATGGCAAATTTTTTGCGTGATGCACTTTTGTGCTGTGCATTCTACCTGGTGGCGAATGGAATCACGGTTGAACAAGATATGACCCTTACCAATTCGCAGGCAAAGATTCTGGAGCAGGTACACAAGCTCATAAATTATTTACACCAACGGATTACGTGTTAAACTTTGCACGCATAAATTTGTGGAGATGTCAACTTAACATATTTCTCAGATTATAAACATTAATTTGTTTTGATTAAAGTTTAAATCTCGACTGCAAGACAAATTGCCGCATGCCTACATGAGGACGGACTTTTACTTAATCAAGTGGCTGTTAGGTAATAAAATGGAATGACCATGAAAAATTCGATTTTTAAAAATTTATGTCTTATCCACAATTACAGATTCTAATTATCAGTTGGATTTAGCAGAAGAAAAATTACTTAGAGTATGAAATTTTTTATAAAACTATATCTAGGATTGATTACTTTGAGTTAAGTAAATGTTTATTCAATGAAATGTAGAACTTGAAATGGAGGAAGGACGAGGGGATGGATGATGGCATTCATTATGAAGACTGGAGCGATATTTGGGATGAGGAAGCTCGATACAGTCTCGACGGACGAGATAAGCAGGGACGTCCATGTAAGTGAGAGGCGGATGATGGGTGAAGTTAATTTAGAATTTGTAATTAAAAAATTCCGTGAAAGTTTTTGAAATTCAAAATTTGACCTATTTATGTACGTACGACCACGGTTAACACAGTTACCCGGAAATTGATACATTTTTGAACCACAATTTTTGACATTGGTCCCTTAAGTCCAAAACTTGAAAATTATTTTTCCGATCAGAAAAGTAGAGTCCAAAATGCGTGCTCAAAGTATTTATCGCACATGCATAATAATTGCTAAAAATTACAACTTATAGTGCTGTACGTCCCCATAAAACACCTTGACTTCAGAAGTCTCGTCATTTCCCAGCGGGCTGAGAGATTTCATCGATACGTTAACAAGGCGATGGACGAAGCTTGTTCCCTGGTCCAAGAATTGTACGAGAAACACGGCAACATTTCGAGAGGAATGGCAATCTTTGACCTGGAAGGGTTCAACCTCGTGCAGCACGGTTGTTTCAGATGTAAAGGCTGAAAAATAAGTAAATTATAGAGATATATCCTTATTTCATTTGTAAAAACAAAAAAAACGTACGTAGGTCTCCCACATTTTATTCGGATGTGGACCAGCTTTGTAGACCACTGGCCAAAATGTGTTGGTGACATGTTCCTTATCAATGGTAAGGAATTAATCTTATCATTTTCTAATTGTTTGTAATCTTGGGAATATGCATATATATATTTTTCATGTTCCTATAAATAGCTCCTGAACCTTTCGTTCACCTGCTAAATATTGCGAAACCATTTTCCCCTAAGGAAATTTTGGAAAATTTACATGTTTTTGGGTCAAATAAGAACGCGTGGAAAGCAGAGCTGAGAAAGTATTTTGATCCCGAGCAACTTTCAACGTCGTTGGGAGGGACGAAGACATACGATTGGGTGGAAGAATGAGTGAGATTTACCAAAATAGTTGTGTTCCCGAAAAATTGGTAAAAAACATGATTTGCTAATAGAAATAAAAATAGTTGATTCAATCTGTCAGATACACGATGATACTGTTTGTTTGTTATATATGTACATATGTACCATGTATACGTGCATGTACCGATGAAACATGGGCACCATTCACCATGCTATTCGATATTTACCAAATTAGTGCCATGAAATTTCCAACACCTTGTCATCAGGTTTGGCGAAGATGTTTGCATCCAAATAGAAGAAAATGTGCATGAAAGTTAACAAATTTTAGACTTTTTAAATTGACTGAGCCGTTCCTTCTCTTTGGATGCAAACATCTTCGCCAAACCTGAGCATTGGCAAATTTAGCGTCTTTTAAAAATGATTAATTACATAAATTTGTGATCGATTGACACTAATTTAATCATAATCTTTATAAGGGCTGAGCGTAGCTAACCTTATTGTTTATTAGATTACCGATCTATTCCTACAAAACACAGGAGCATAAATTATTGCAATATTGCAATATTTGTTCCTGTAAAAAAAATCCAAACCAATTTATTCCTGTGACTATGTAGCATCGTGACTAGCTTTTCCATCTCCGACGCGCAATCTACTTCCATAAAGCGTTAGTGTTAAGTCGCTGACTCTGTGATCGAGTCCAACTTGCCCCGTAGAGGAGACAAAGAAGGAAGCGGAGCAAATGCATGCATGCATGAACTGCTACCCCACATAGATATATCAACTGATCAACCATCATTACTCATCAGTATTTGTTATCATGATAAGTGACGTGATAAACACTATTAATTAAGTATTTTAGTTTGAGAAACTCCACCCACAGCGAGTGGCATATCAATTCGAATGTATTTTTGACGTTGAATCCAACGCCAATGGTTTTGACCTCCGAGCCCCCGTGACCTTGCCGTGACCGTGGTGTCCAAATATGGCTTATTCGTGATGTCGCATATCAATTCGAATGTATTTTTGACGCTGAATCCGAATCCGTCAATAGCTTGGCGTTAATTGTAGAAGTTAACGGGGTTTATGGAACTTAACGGGAGCGTGAAGCGTGGGAATTTAAATAGTTAGCTATGCAGTTACTCCCATGCAACGGGAATTTAAGTAATTAGCTTTTCAACTACCCCCACAGGGGGGAATTAAATTGTACTGTGACAAGGTTAATTAAAATACTGTATGATTTGGGCATACCCTCACTCTGATGAATGTATGTAGTATGACAAAGTCTTCACTGGGAATTATTTAAAGCATAGTATGACGGATTTTTCGCTTTGGGCACACCCCCCACTACTCTAGAACCCGGCCTTGGCCGGGCTATACGCTAGTTAATTTTATAATCTGAGAAAACAAAATATTGAAATAAATAGATCCCGGATATTAGATAGTATTAACGTACTAACGATCTACTAACCTTCGGGGTGCGATGTTCGTAAATTTCCCAAACCGAGTTTAACAACATATTTACTTTGTCAAGTTTAGCCAAAGACAGTGATCGAATTTGACGGTAACCGTGGGCCCCTTTGCATTGTTTTTCATTTATTATAATGCAAGATGCTGGGCCCCCTTATTAGATAAGATATTAATAATTATTTTAGTTGTGTGGTAACAAGTGATGCACATTTTGGAATATTAAGCGAAGGAGTAATACGTACATATTTGAAGATATTGGAAGCGAGATGTCAAAAGCCGATGTTAACTTAATTTCATAACGACGTTTACTTGAATGTTAAGGATCATATTTATAATTGTATACAATATAATTTGTACATATAACACAGATATTATACACACAGATGCAAGGGTCAGTCTCAACTTCCCCCCACAGGGGGTGCGGTTCGTCCCTCGGGGGGTGTAACTTGAATCAAAGAAATAGACGCATTCCTTGGGCCACCAAAATTCGGAATATATATACATATCATAGGATTTATCTCAGGGGAATAATGGCAAAAATTTGGACCTTTTTGGAGTCTGTGAGTTTTTTTACATATGAATGAACATGTCTCAAAATTATTTAGTTGCATTTCTTTATTAAATATCGTTTCGTCGAATGGCATAAATATACATACTTATGGAAGCTATAAAAAATACTTATTTTTATTTCTGAAAAATGGAAATCTTTATCCAGTGCCTATTATTTTCTTCACGAATCTGCAGATTTTCATATCGCTTCCATGCAACAAAGTAAGAGAAAGTTGGAAAGATTCGACCCGCGATTCAAACTTGTCAGCATTCGCTGCATTGTAAGTTGTAAACAAATTATCAAATTGACAATTTGATAAATAATAATAATTGAAATTATGAAAAACTACTAAAACAAGTAACTACAAACTAATTTCCTTTCACGATGGCACAAAAAACAGTCCGAGGGACGGGAAACCTCTTGTAGGATTTAGTTTGTTCTGTCGTTCGTTTGAAAAAGTGTGATGATTTTGAAAATTTAAATTCAACAAAAGTGCAATCTGAACTGAAATTTAAATCTGCACACTGTTTCATCTGCCACATTTCTGGAACGAGACAGCAGCTCCGTCCAATAACTGAAGTAGAATTTGAAACTTTACTAAACATTATTTGCTTGACGGAGACTTTATCGGTGGACAAGTTCTACTGCATTTGTCCCATGTGTTCAGAAACGCTGGTGAAATTAATAAATTTGAAGACAGAAATTGACAAAATTTCCACCTGCATTCGCAGTCTGGTGCAATTACGAGGCAAAAAATTGGATATTTTGGATGGTACGTATTTTATAGTTGTGCATCTGTAGGCAAATGGCAAATAAAATTTTAGGGTTTTTGAATTTAGGAAATTTTCCTAATCCAACAGGAAATGAATCTGGCACAAAATCAAGCGGCGATGTTGCAGAAATCAATTCCATCAAACTTTCGACAAGCCTAGACAACGTGACTGTCGATGAGGATAACGTCGACGAATTTGTGGAGAGTCCTCCAAATGAGTCCTTAGGTCCTGATGAAGGCGATTGTATGCCAAGTTATCATCTTGCTGAAGATGTTGAAGAAGAGTCAAGACCATTGATAAATTTAGGTGATATTGATATTGACATCAAATTCTTCCCCACGGCTGATGCTGATGAGGCCGGTGACAACATGTTCCCGCATTTTGGTGATTATCCTGATTCGGAAACGATCAGCACCAGCTTGTCAAATTTGAGTGAATTAGTGCAAACAAGTAAAAAGCTTAGGTAATATAAATAGTATTTTCAAAATGTGTAAATATTTATGAGCGAAAAAGGAGACATTTATTTAAATTATGTACTATCTTATAGTCGATCGAACTCGAACGGTAAGGAAGTTATCTCACGTGACGCTAAACGACCAAGAGCTTCTAGAACCCGTGCTGAAGAGTGTATAAAAAATTTGTCAAGGCGTGACAGTGAAAATGACGATGATGATATTGGCAATCATGAGGATGCTGATTTCCATGCAAGCAGTGAGGATGAATCGGCCTATAGTGAAGATGATAATTCCAGGTCTTTACAAATTGTTTATTAACTAAGCACTATGTTGGGCTTTTATTGGATTTTTGTCGTTAATTTAGTCGAGCTCTCCCAGAAGCTGATGTCGATGTTGGTGCACCTTTATCCAGAAAATCTAAAAAGTATGCATGTATATAACAAATCCAGTAAAGAACTCAAGTTAAAGAAGACAAATTTACTAATCTTGTTTTACAGTAATCTGAATCGCACTCAGGATGTAATTCCTCCTTCGAAATCTACAGTTTGCAGCCAGAAATTTAATAAAAGACATAAATTGGATCATGAGACAAAATGCGAAGTTTGTGATATGCAATATACGACAAAACGTGGTTTAGATGAACATCTCCAATCGAAGGATCACGCTGATGTTGTAAGATGCCGAAAGTATGTACATGTTCAATCCAAATTAAATATTAGTAATGAGTTTTAATTAGTAAATTAATTAAACTAAGAGGGATTTCACGTCAAGTTCGTAACCTACGTAACTGCGTTAGGTTTGTAAGTTTACACACTCTTGACGTGAGTTGACTTTGTAAACATTTTCGTAAACATTTTTTAGTAAAAAAAATATCGCATATAAAACGTCATCAAAATGTTGCTAGCCAACTTTATCCTAGCGTACACCAAATGACATGTAATTTTTTTGAATTTTTTTGCCTGAAATATCAGTTTTCAGGAATTACACAGCCATTTCTTATGTCACAAAATTCTATAATATACCAAAATGATCGTATGATCAAGACCGATCGATTGATACCCCTCTGGATGAAGTGTGTCAATTTAGCCCAGATTTGACATTTGGGGGCTGGTCGGATAGCGACCAATATTTTCGGCTGGCAGCAATCTTTTGTTAAATAATTAAATTAATTTGCATGTCGGGACGAGATCACATAAAAATGTACAATAGACAATTCGTCTCTAAGACAATTTCAACCGAAAATTCAGATCTCAAGCACTCGAATTATTTACGAACTTTTGTTTACGAACCAAAAACATGCTTTTGAAGTGCGTAAGTTTCGTAAAAGTTCGTAAGTCAATTTTCCTTAGAAATGTGTGTAAAAGTTCGTAAAAGTTTGTAAGCTTACAAACCTTACGCAGTTACGAAGGTTACAAACTGTGACGTGAGTTCCCTCTAAATGTTTGCCCCGTAGGATTAGCGATAATGGCGTTATTACATTTTCTTGCTCTAAATGTGATCATGTCGGGTTTCCCGATTTACTTGAACTATTGCTACATAGAGACAAAGTTCACGACCGAGTTCACAAGCGAGATCACAAGTTCACGTTGTAAGCTCAATATTTAAATATCTTCTAATATTCGTAACGTGGCTAGATTCTCTCTGTTTTAATGAAATTAATATGTATGATTGCAGGCCGTTTGGTCCAACCGAGTTAGAAATCGCGACTTTACGATGTACCATTTGCCATGATAAATTCAGCGACCTGGCAACCTTGATAAAACACAAAGCTGTACATATCAATAAATGCGAAGTGTGCAATATAAGTTATTCTACACCAAATGAACTTAAATTCCATCTTGAGTCGGGCCAACACGAAGCAGCAATTCGAAGCAGGAGGTAAAGATTTTTACAATAACAGTAAAGGTTCAAACTACTTAATATTAATGCATTTCCCCTGCAATTTGTATCTTAGATTCGATTCCGATGGCAAGGTCACCTTCGTCTGTGACCTTTGCCCAGATCAGTCACCGTTTTACGATCTCTTAGAATTTTTCCTACACAAGAAAAACGTTCACTGGAAACCAACAACATGCCAACCTTGCAACAAAACCTACGCCTCGATGAGGAGTTACGACCAACATATTCTCTCAAACGTACATGCCAAAACTGTCGGACCGAAAGCATTGGCGGCTCTAGAGAGGAAGAAGTGCGTTTATTTTTTAATGTGGAGCGTTAATTGCAAAATTAAAGTTTGGCCCAACTTTTCTTTTAAAGGAAATTCAAGTGCAGCAAATGTGACAAGATCTACCCTGCCGAGTCCTTGCTCCTTGGCCATATTCGAGCCGCCCATAATCCTCCTGCCTACGTTTGTGAAACTTGTGGGAAACGCTGTCGAAATTTGGTCAGGTTGAACGCCCATAAGAATGCGCACCACCGGTAATACCGATAGATTCTCAATTTACTTCTGTTTCTTGTAGGAATATGTAAATAACCAACAGTTTTCACTTGCCAGATCGAGAATGTTTACCCCAAAAGAAAGAGCCTTTCAATGTAAATTGTGCGACCAGCGGTTCACCAGCTACGCAGGAAGATACAGACATGTCCAATCTTTGCACAAGGGAATACGCTACAGGTGTGATTTGTGCCCAAATGAATACGCTAAAAGTTGTTCCTTAAAGAGGCACAAAGACAATGCTCATAACTTGAACAATGACAAACCACCCACGACCAAGGAGAAAGCTACTCGTCTTCAGTGCGACATTTGTTTGAAAACGATGGTTAAACAAAACCTTGGAGGACACATAGAACTCTTTCACTTGCAGGACAAAAGTAAATGTCCTTTTGATTGCTGTGATGTGGAATTTGCGACTGAACAGGAGTGGATTCAACATTTGGAGGGGTGCACATCAGAAAAAATTGTGAGTTTACTTCCTAGGAGTTTTTTTTCGTAGATTTTTTATAAACTCCACCCTTGGTTCAAGTGTATTGTTTTGCACGTGTTTTGCAAATACACACATATGCAGATATTTACTTACCTCTGAAACATAGATGGTTTTTTTATCAAACTACTAATTACTTGTTGTTGGCAAGTTTTTTTTATAGACGGAAGCTTCTAGATCCTCCTGCTTCTTTTGTGGAGCTTTGTTTCCAACCCAATTCCTCCGAATTGTCCATCATCTGCAAGCCCACAAAACGTTTGCGTGTGAAATATGCTCCAAGGAATTCACCAGGCAAATAATACTGGACCTTCATAAATACTCACATCAAGAATCCAAACCACATCTTTGTCCAAAGTGTGGAAAGCGATTTAAACAAGGTTGGAATCTCAAACTTCATACCACAACGGTTTGCGGGGATGATGACGAAGAGAAACAAAAAATGCTTGAAAAAAGAAGGGAACAGTATAAATCATTTAGAGAAAAAGTGAGTTTTAATTGCGACGAGTGCTCGGTGGGATGCACGACGGCGAGAAATTTGGAACTGCACAAAAGTCAAGCTCATTGCGACAACTTAGACTAGACGATATTTATTTTTAAGCGTTACTATCTGTTTTCCGCATTTAACGTTTCGCACTTCATAAAATTATATGGAGCTAAAATCCACTTACATATTTGTATAAAAATTTGTTGAATTAAAACCAGTTACACAAAAATTAAGCTAATTTTAGAATTTGTCTTTGAGTTGTAATTCAATTTGCGATATCGCACCGTTCGAGCATGATACGAATGAATCTACCTCCTAATAAATCTAAAGATCTTGTTAAAGATGATCCACCTGCGAGATTGGATGATGATTTGATTACTCCACGCCGTAGACTCTTGCTCGGATTTATGAACAATTTTTTTAGCGACATTCTTTTATCATCGCTTGATTCGTCCGCGTAAGAAAATTCCGATGCATCGTTACCATCGTCATCAAAAGAAGTAGAGTCATCTATGTAATATACGGACGACTTGGTAGCACTTCGAGGTCGACTGCTCCTTTTCTGAGGGGGTTTGGGGAGGCTTCGTTTAGCTTTGAAGGTTTTTTGTTTTACTAACCTGTAACTTTTTAAATTAATAAAACTATGTGCAGATCTACGGCGTGACTTCCGGTTGTTATCTTCGTCGCCACTCGTTCCACTGAAGGATTGTTCGTTATCATCTTCGTCCTCGGATTCTTGACCTTCATCGTCACTCTCTTCCGGTTCCTTCCTCCCAGCATTTGATCGTTTCTGATTTCGTGGCGTGGGAGAAGTCTTGACTAATATTTTCTGCAAAATTTCCAACAGTTCAAACACGGAGCTGACTTGGCTCTTGACCTTGTTCGTCTTTGCGGTTTCGACGCTCTGATAAATAAATAAATTGTAAATTCTAATCTTCGCAAATATGCAGATTAGTTCAGTTACCGTCGTGGTGAGCACGCTATGATGTTTCCGCATGTGCCATTTTTTGCTCTTTTCGCTAATTTGGAGGCCACAGTGGTCACAAAAAGAGGTGAAGTGGATCGGAAAATGCTTCCCAGTGATGTGCGACTTTAGTCCGTCCTCCGTCGAAAAATCCTGGGTGCAAATGTTGCAGAGGAAACGTTTCCCATTTCTCGCACCCTCCTCGACAATGTTCACCGTCTTTAAATAGGACAAATTTTCTATCAATTGCATTATTTAAACGTCAAAAATTAGCATCATTCCCAACCTCAATTTTTGCTGGATCGAAATTAACTTCTGCATGAAATTTTTGCACATGTCGCTTCATCTGAGGCATGTTCGTTATGGTTTTCGGACACGCCGGACATTTAAATCTCTTCATTCTCTCCTCACTGTGAGCCGTTATCATGTGACCCCTCAAAGAGTGGGCGTACTGGAATGTGGCATTGCACTGAGGACACATCACCCTCGTGAATGCGTTGTTTTTGTGCGCTTCTAGGATGTGAGTGATGACGAATTCTTTGTTCTTGTAGTTTTTCATGCATACTTTACAAGTATAAATGGTGACGGATTTTCCGCTATGCTCGACTTCCGTGGCGTGTATCAAGGATTCCAAAATTTCTGGGGTTATGACCTTCTTGCCGGGATTGTGTTCGTCTTTGACATGTTTTAACCGCATCTCACGGGTGATAAAGATACTCGGACAGTGAGGACAGGACCAGATGCCTTGTGCGTGGAAGGAGTGGTAGTGATGGAACTGGGAAGCGGTGAAGACTTTTGGGCACTCGGGACAAGAAATGGGGGGATCATTGGGGTCATGCAAGGTCGTATCATCTACTATTCCAGTGGCGGAGGGGATGACGAGGGCGTCGAGGGGGATGGAATGAACTGCATTCATGTGCAGAATCAGCATGTGTTTTCGACCAAAAAGTTTTTGACAGATTTGGCAGTAGCGTTTCATGACTTGATCGTAGACGAGGTGGACCTGATGGAAAGAGTGCGATGTCGTAAAGTGGCAAAGTTGACAGAGGGAGGCGGAATAGGGTGGAATGGTAGGGGTGGGATATTTGGTGGCGGCATGCTGCTCATCTTGGTGGGTATGATTAGATGTTGACTTAGGAATCGAAACCTACCAGAATTTATATAAATTGTAAGTTTATGATATTGCATTGAGGTTAAATCATTCGTTTGAAAATTAGCAACCTTTTCTTTGATTAGTTCCACATATTTAGCCAGATCGTGATCCTCGAAGCAGTGCTTTCTCAACCGGGCCAAAGTTAGGAACGATTTTGCACAGAGTTCGCATTTGTAAGGTTCCGCACAGTGATACATTTCCGGCTCCATCGCTTTCGATACCTGGTAAAAAAACTAAGGGATGTCAATCCAATCCACTTATCTATTAATAACTTAGTTAACCTTACCGGTGGCTCATTAGGATGACATTTGTCTATATGATCCATCAACTCAGAGTTCGTCTTGAACACTTTCCTGCACCAGAAGCAAGTCAGATTCGTATCACATTCTTCAGGCTGTGAATTTTCGGTCCCCTCTCCTTCAGCGACAAATCTGTGACCTTTGTTGACATGACTTTGCAGCCATTCCACTGACGAAAATTCAGACAGACATGTAGCACACTTGTGGACATTTACACTCGAAATATTAAGCGGAGCGTCACATTTCGAGTTTTCGATCCCACGATGGTCATGCGGATGAAAGAGGGCGACATGATCATCCAACTGCTCCCTTCTCCTCAACAAGACGCCACAATGCTCACAACCCCATCGTAAATGGTCATGCGTCGACACGTAGTGGTCGATGAGGGTGGAGAATGATTTGCAATCATGGTCACATTCAAGACACACAAAGAGAGAGGAACGACTCGTTGTGCTGCGCGAGTCAAAAGGCAAGTACCACTAGAAGGTCAAACAAAGGTTAAAGATTACATAAAATAGCTGGTTGTATATAAATAAATAAGTACAAAAATAACCAACATGCTTGGTCGACTCAGGATGTTTTCTCTTAAAATGGTTTAATAAACCAATCTTTCCAAACAGCAAATTGTTACACTTTAGGTCAACTTGTTTCCCAACGCGGGCGCTGAACGGACACATCCATTTGATCTCGTTTTTGACCCAGTGGTATGCATACAAGTGTTCATAGAGCCGTGACCTGTCAGTGTATACGAAATCGCAGATGGGACAGGTAAACTTCTCCTTCGATTGATTACTTGGTTTCATCTTTTTCGATTTCTTCTTATCCACTTCCTGTTCGGAATGTCTCTTTTTCAAATGTGCCTTAAAAGCGGACTCTTCATTGAAGACTTTATCACAGTGGGGACATTTCGGACATAAATTGGCCACATTTTCGGGTAGTTTCGTCTCCAGCATCTTTTGTACTGAGCGCTCTAAGGGACATATGGTTTCCGGTAGGAGTGGTTCTACGGGGGGTGCAGGACCAAGAGTAGCTCTTCGTGCCTTGCTCTCCTTCCTGGCACGGTTCCCCCAGAAATCAGTATTCGGAGGGTGGGTACGTCGGCAGCGTTTCAACGAGTCCTTGACCAATTTGGTGGAGTGAGATTTATAACTCGACCCACGTGGACGGCCCGGCTTCCGTTTGATATTTTTAGGCTGCGATGAGCCGTGATGAGTATAATCATCGGTGGAGTTTCGATGAGCAGCGTTAGATGACCAGTCATTGGTATTAATGGTGGACAGGTGTTGCTGATAACCGGTCAATGTAGATTGGTAGGACGAATTAATCTAGAAAGGAAACGATTTAAATTAAGAATTATACAAATGGCGAATTAAACATTAAATGGTTACCTGCTCATGGTGATAGGCATCATGTTGCTGTGGTGTCGATAAGGCTACCCACCCGTCGAGTTGGACTTGACCCAATTCATACCCAACCGGAGTTTCTACCGCCATAAAGTGCTGATGGGTGTGGTGTTGCTGTTGATGAGGGAATTCAGCTTCTTTCACGTAGTGATCGTCATCTTGTGGTGGAGGAGAGTATGAGTCCGCCGCATTGTTGGGCGTCCAGTCGTCGTGGTCGTCATCGACATGATATCGATTTTGTCGTTGTGGGGGAAGATATGTGGGCATCGTTGTGAGTGTGTGTAGAAGATTTGCAGTTTTTTTCTTGTTTGGGGTCATTTTCTTTCTTGGCGGAGCGGTTGTCGACATCGACGCTGATGGGGTTTTCTTACTCCGTTGTCGTTTTGACCCTTTGACACATTTCATTACCTGTTGCAATTGCTTCTTCATCGCTTTTTCCCTCTTTCTAGCCTCCCATCCGGCAACACCGGCCTCTCGTTCGGCGTCAAACTTGGCGCGAGCTTCCTCCGAGATGACGCCACCACCACGCTTTTTCGCTTTCCACTCCTTGCGATACAAATTATCCTTAAATTTCTCCTCCAAACTAAGCTCATTGTATTTCTTGATTCTGCGAACGACGTAGAATCGTCTATGTTCTAAATACTTTAGAACGACGGAGCCAAACTTTTCCAAAAAAGTGTGAAACTCTTTGAAATTTGTAGTCACCGAGGATTCGACAACCTGAACCGCTAAAGACGACTTATTATAGCTGATTTTGCTCGTTTTTGTTAAAGTGAGGAATTTTCCCAACATTTTCCGGTACTTAATTAGTTCTTCTCTAACTTTGACTTTGTTCGATCCTGCGGCCAATGTCCAATATTGGATGACTGGCTGATGATCTGGGTGTGTCAATGTGTTAGCGAATTCAGCCGGATTCAGGGTAGCGACGAGTTTAAGGTGGATTTCATACTCTTTTTTCTCCATGCGGCATCGTATCCGAGAAAATTGGGCGTGCCGTGACTTTTTCTCTTCAGGTGTGAGAGGGATGCCTGTTGCCTTTGGGGTTGAATGTTGAGGTTCGTTATCTTTTAAGCGAGCCGCGATCCGGGCGCTCCTCTCGGTGAGAGATTCCTTGCTGTAAAGTTCTCTCTTTTGACTAAGCCAGACTTCTGCGTGTTTGATAAGCTCCTTCTTTTCGAGGATAACTTGGTCAATGAGGCTTTGACGTTCAATGTCGATCAGGTCACGACTTTGGGAGTCGTCCGGTTTTTCCTCCATCCAGCGGGCACGGCATAATTCAAGTTGTAATTCAAGTTGGGAGGCGCGCTCTTGTTTCCTGATATTGTGAATTCGATTTTTTGGTTGGAATCCAGAGCTGTTGTGGGAATTGGTAAAATCGTCGTCGGCCGCAGAGACGGTGTTGGCTATCCAGTCTTGCATCTCGTTTTTGTCTTGGATGTCGGAGGGTTCTGGTTTAACCATGACGACTTCAAGAGAGCTGCAAGCGGAGCCATCGTGATCGCTACTACTATTACAATCATCCTCATTATGGTCGTGGTCACTGCCATCGTCTTGAGCAGGGTCATTTGAACTTTGACTTTGATCTATGGGTGCGGGTCGTTCCAATGATGGAACACAATTGCCTAATTCAAGCTCGACGGCTTCGGCGATGAGTACAGATCGAACGTTCTCAAATTCCAACTGCAACTTAAGTATGAGCATTTCCTTAAAGAGCAAGTCTTCACCGGCTTCAGGTGCCTGGAAGATCCGAAGTCAAATTAACTGGAAAGTCACCTTATTTTCGTAGTTTGTAAAGTGGACTAATTCAGAAATACTTATCAGTTTAAAAACTAATTTACTGCTCACCACGTCGTCCAAATTTTGGGGTCGATTCTTCTTCCACTTTTTACTGCTAGGGTCCCACTTTTTCTCAGTCTCAGTGCTAATAAGGCGGTCCACCTCATGCCGAATGGAACGAACTACCTTCTCCCGGGGAGTGTAATACACAGGGACAGGGGGCCGAGAAGTGGATGGGTCAACCGCACCAGTAGGTGGGTGAGCTTGGGATGAGTCGTTATTACCCTTGTCCAGATTGTGCATACTTTTCTGCATGGCTCTCTTCTTTCTGACCCTCTCACGGTCCTTTCGCCGTCTATAATCGGCCCACGTTTCCCCAGGAATCGAGTCAAGATCTGGTCCGTCATACGCCAGAGTTTCCTCCTGGTAACAAAAGCATACAAACAAATTTAAAGAAATGTCGTTTGAATGTGCATAATCAGGAGAAAGTTTATAATGTGAAAGCAATTGATTTGGCAGACCTCCTTTCTCTTAATTCTCTTTCTGATGGCTTCCAGTTTCAAATTTTTGGCACTGACTGACCGTTTACGTCTGGGATTTGTTCTATTGTCGATACTGGAGGCAGATCTCGATTTTGTTGATGTCCTCCGGCGCTTTCTTTGTGTCCTTTTTGGTACTTGAATTAATTCATCAGACTGGCTCCGGTCCTAGTGGAGCAAGTAACAATTAAAATATTAATAACTACTATGCAAATTAATCTAAAAATATAAGCATACATCGTCAGGAGTGTACTCGGCGTCATTATTGTCTTCACATTCTGATTCTTGCAATTTTACTATAGGATTTCGCAAAAGGGCTTTATCGTCATCTCCACTTCCTTCCTCCGCATCGTCATCAGTAACCTCATCCCTTTCAATCTTGATATGCTTCACACGTGCTGACGAAGGTCGTAATCGGGACGAAGGTGTCGTGGTTGCCTAAAAATTAAGAAAATAAAAATTTTAATTGTGTTGAATGTGACAAATTAAAAATTTAACAATTCGTGCCTTGCCTTTTTCTCACTGCGACTCTGTCCTTTTCGTTCTCGTTCCAATCTTCGGCGATGGTCCGCCTTGGTTTCGTCAGGCAGGGCGTCATCCTCCGTCGCCAGCTCGTTCTCCTCCTACAAATCACAATTATTAAAGTCTATCTTTGACTAGGTTTCAAATTTGCTTATACTTTAAACTTACCATTTGTCTCTGTTCCTTTTTCAGCTTCGCCTATTACTTAACCACCTTTGGAGGCATGACCTATAAACACACAGAAAACTGATCTTCAGCTAATTTTATGCAAAGAAACACAATTTTAATTGAATTTGACTTAAAACTATGTCTTTCAATGCATACATTTACGTAAATTCATTATGTCAGTTAATGCGTATCTCATAATTAGTAGGTCAATAATAACGTTATTATCAATTTAGTCTAAATTAATACAAATTTAATCTTACCCACTTCCGGTTCAAGTTTGAAGTGCTACTTCACATCTACGATAAGTTGGAATCAGAAGCACCTCCCACTAACCGGACAACATACTAATCTAAGTCCATTAGTTAATGGCAACTACGCATTAGGTATTAATTATGAACCCAAATTTCAAAAACTTCAAACTTTGACGACGAAGTAAAATGCAAAATGTGAAAAATAAATATTATTATTTTGTGAAAAAGCGATTGCGCTCTTCAAAGTTTTCCACCTTACCCCGGTTCCACACGATAAGAAATGTAGCTCTGTTAGATATATTTTGTCGTATGCCCCGGTTCAACTCGCTTTTTTCAGTTTCATGCAGACTTGCTAGTTTGGGGTTCGCCGAACTTTTGAGGTTCGATTTGTACCGAACCGAACCGTACCCGAACCGTACATTGTTCGGTTACGGGTACGGTTCGGTCAGATTTAAAAAAAAATTAAGGTACGGTTCGGGTACGGTTCGGTCATATTAAAATATTTTCAAGGTACGGTTCGGGTACGGTTCGGTCAGACTGAAAAATTTTCAAGGTACGGTTCGGGTACGGTTCGGTCGGCTAAAAAATATTTTAGGTACGGTTCGGGTACGGTACGGAGAAGGTTCGGTTGAGGTTCGGGTACGGTTCGGTCATGTTATAAAAAAAGGAAGGTACGGTGAGCTTACGGTTCGGTAAGGTTCGATCAAGTTACGGTTCAGGCAGATTACAAAAATACGTTCGATAATTTTCAATTTTGTTGGCCCGCGTACTGGGTAAAGTGAGAACAACTGAATAGATTATTATGTTGTATTGCTTGTATTATGTGTTCGCTTTAGTTGCGGGGAGAGGGAAAAACGACTCATTAAAACTAAAAGTAAAATTACCAGGGATGAACCTGAAAATTTGTAACCACTAAAACAGGACCCAGCGCTGGAAGTGCCTTTTGACGACGCCAAATTAGTACTTCAGCCAGATTTTTATCTCAAGTACAGGAAGTATCGCAATATATGTATGTCAAATTCTTCCACCTGCTCCTTTCATCATCACTTGAGCACTTGGGGGAGAGGGACTGCACGAAATGGCTGAATAACGAGCTAGATCGTTATTCATCAATTGTAACCCATATTCCACTTCCCACAGCTGTCATATACGTTGTAATTTATCGGGGGAGAAATAGATGCTAATTTCTATTTGGTTATAGAACACCATGACATCCTAGTCGACGCCGAAAAGGCATGCGAAAATTGAAAAAACTGTCGCTGTACAAGTTTACAAAATGAAAATATTCAGTCTGAGACAACTTGTCTCTTAATTTTGTCAATGGATATGGGTCTACATAGTGGGGTCATAAGTTCTCGTGAATGCATTTCCGGTAATAAATCCCAAAGTATTAGAGCTATCTGTTCGAAATTTTTATGGATTAACAAGGTATTAATATTGTTTAGAAATCATAACTTCTTTGTCAAGATTTCGTCCACGGGCAATTAGACAAGACATAACTCGTGACGGCCACAGGTCGATCGTGGTACGCGCCAATTTTCGTGCCAAAAGTATTTCAGACTTTTCACCGTTGGCAAAAAATTTAATAGAAAAAAAGGCCAGATATTTGTTGTACAGAAGTCTGACATCCGTTTAAGTATGCGGAAGTCAATACGAAGTCATCACCGTGGTGTGAATGGGAGCAAGTTGGCTGGAGAAGTGAAATCTCTGTTTTTTACCGCAAAGGGTACAAGTTGAAGCCAAGAATTATTTTCAGAGTGTCCTAGAGACAAACGTTAATAACCTGAACCCTGGACCCTCCGAAAATCGCCATTGGACCTTTCAACAAGACTCTGCTCATACGCAAGGTGCAAAATTGTCCAAAACTGGCTTCAGACGAATTTTCATGACTTTTTTTCATCCGTAGAACGGTGCTCAGTATCTGCAGACCTTAATCCCCTAAATTATGACTGGTGGTCAAAATTATAGGTACAAGTATGCTCTAAATTTCACCCAAGTGTGGAAGGGCTGAGGTCGCACTTACTGAAGATTTGGCGCTTTTCCCAGGAAATCCGTGCGTGCCGCGATCTAGCAGTTTTCGCCACGACTTATGTCTTGTGTACAAGCCCGTGGAGGAAATTGTGAAAACGAAGTTATGATTTCTAAACAAGATTAATACCTTGTTCATCCACAAAAATTTCTATCAGATAGCTCTAATACTTTGGGCTTTATCACCGGAAATGCATTCACGGGAACTTATGGTCGGACTATGTAGGATCATGAGGCTGGACATTTTGTTGCAGGTATCCACATGTTCTCGTTCCATGTTGATTTTCGATTTCTTAAATCGTTAATATCAGGTACGGCCCGGTAAGATAAATCAATTCCGGAGGTACGGTACGGTAAGAGAAAAAATTAAAGGTACGGTTCGGGTACGGATCGGTAAGAGGAATAATTATAGGTACGGTTCGGGTACGGATCGGTAAGAGGAAAAATTATAGAAGGTACGGTTCGGGTACGGTTCGGTTAATGTGCGGTGAAGGTTCGGGTACGGTTCGATCTGATCAAAAAATTCTGGAGGTACGGTTCGGGTACGGTTCGGTCAGACTAAAAAATTCTTGAGGTACGGTTCGGGTACGGTTCGGTCATATTAAAAAATTTTCAAGGTACGGTTCGGGTACGGTTCGGTGAGATAAAAAATATTTAAGGTACGGTTCGGGTACGGTTCGGCAACCCAAACTAGCACCTCTGGTTTCATGGAAATTTATCAACAAAATGCATGAAAACATTAAAACTTTGGAAATTTATAAACATGGTAAAATAGAGTACATCTAACTCCATGGTTTGGTTTAACAACTGATTTGTGGTTATCTGGTTGTAAAAATATGCGAACCCGTGATAGATATTTGTAAAAATAAATATCCCGTGAATATTTATTTTGAGAGAGAACGGCTAAAATTATGAAATTTTCATCAGTTCGAAATTAATTTGTAAATTGGAGAGATGAGAAACTTGGGACAAATCAGATAACATTTCCTGATCGCAGATAAGCCATCCTTCATCATGGCAAGAGGTGCATTGAATTCATACCTGAATATGTATATGTATACAACTATCAATAGTTAATTTATTAGATAAGAGGCTCAATTGAGCCTCCTATCTAATAAATTTCATTCATTGCGTATGTACATATGTTTTTGTTCACGTTTCCTGCCCCCGTCTGAATAAAAATACCATCTATGTATAAGAATGCAAATGAGCGATAATTTCATGAGAAGGAAAGCCATGCATTTTTACTGGAAATCGAAACCTTGGGGAGAATGGCGATCAAAATATTGTATGTATTTTGCCAGCGTTTCTGATGGTGCATTTAGTTCGAAAAATTAAACTGACGATGAGGTTGATAAGCGTATAATATTACACTTCTTAGTTTGCATACAATGCTGTAAACGAATTTTGATTTTGTCACGATTGGTCAAATTTGATTAAAATTAGGAACTTCATATTTGCAAATGTGTGTGAGATTTCTAACCAAAGACGAGCATATATCTATCTATTACATGCAAGCATTTCAGAAACGAGGAGAAACCACCACCATAAAAACTTTGGTGGTGGGAACATTATAAATTTTGTCATCTGTTTACAGTAAACTTTACATTGTTTATAAACATTTGTAGTTTCTTAAATTAAGCAAAGTCAAAGTATAGTATTTAACAAAATAACAAATTACTGAGGATAACGCATATTAACATCGGTTTTGGTAAAGTTTTATTTTTTAAGATAGTTTCAAATACATACATCTGCTCTGCATAGCTTGAATTTGCTCCAATTACTCGACATGCAAATAATAATACGAAACAAACCCACATAGTCGTAGTTGTCCATTTGTATTTAATAGATAGCCTTTTTCAGCCTTAAATGTATTTTGAAGCACTACATGCCTAATTTCTTAATTCTTGTTTTAACAGGAAATGGGGCGCGTTACCTGACGGAATATCGCATGCAGAGGGAATGGACGCAAAACTACGGATAACATAACTTGCCTACCATTACGCATTAGTGGGGAAAACGTCGCCAACCATAATGTAGAGTAAGTATTGTTAAAACAATAAATAAAAATTAAATAATTTTAGCTACATGCTTAATAATTTCGACTTTGTAATCTAGATATTCCTGTTCTCATCTTAGGGTGAGAGTCACACTATTAAGACTAATTTAATTTGCCCTGTTTTAACCTGTATTAAAAAAGCTTTTATGATCAACTTTCAGCCCGGCGTCACCTCACTATGACCACAACTTGTCTCTTGTGTCTACACAAGGATGATTCTTCCTCAAGCTTTAACAATGCTAATTTTTTTGGCGACTCGACGAGCATTAAAATTGTCACCCTTTATGAATTGCTCCGCCCCCTCGTCTCCTGCCAGAAAAACGTTAACACGTATGTAGACGCCGACACATGTTTCCTTTGTCAAAATTGTTTTTTGGCAACGCGTGAGGCGGTGGAAATTCGCAACCAGATTTTCAAGTTGGAGACTCGCCTTCGTGAAAAAGTCGACACGATTAAACTCAGAATTTTGGATTCCAATACAAAAATTGAAACTGGAGAGGAAAGATATGTCGAATTGGGGAGGATTCTAGCGATTAGGAATTATTTAATGGGTATATCTATTTCGCTCCAGCAATATTTGTTATAATAAATGATTAATTTAATACTTAATTTAATTCAAATCCAGACGAGAATCATAACAAAACCGCTGAGTTGGGGGACGTTCAAGTGAAAGAAGAACAAGTGCAAGAGGAGTATGACTTTTTAGACGGCTATCCCACTATTTCTGAGGATGAGTATCGCCCCCACAAACTAGAAATTGACTCTGATGCAGATTCTTCTTTCTGCATCCTGCCGGATCTCACTGCTCCTGTCAGAGTTCGGGCCCCCAAACGGAAGCGACCTCCTCCTTCACCTTCACGTCGGTACATGTATTGAACTAAATTACATATGTAAACATATTTCTGGAACTTTTAGCTGACTATTGTTTTCCTGTGTTTACAGTCCGGCAAAGAATCACAAGTGTTCTGCAAAATCTAAACCAGCTTTTGCGAATGAAGAAGAAACTCAACCTACCCGTCGTTCTACACGACCCAAAAAGCCTACAATGTCCCAAAATCTGACGAAACTATTTGCGGAGGAGAAACGATTAGCCCAAGAAGATCGAGTCATACTACCTAAAAGACAACTCAAGAAACGAAAACTTGACGACTCTGATTACTCTGATGAGCTAAATCTACCCAACAAAAAAGTCGGTCGTACCAAGTGGAAATGTACCCTCTGTGAACGCTATTGGCCTTCAAAGGATGAGCTGAATGCCCATCATGCCCGACAAAAGCTTCCCTGTCCGCTCTGTCCATCCACATTTTGCGCCTCGCAGGTACGAGACGACCACATAAAGAACGTCCACTCCACGACGCGTCCTTATCAGTGCCCCCACTGCGATAAAAAGACCGCTAGACAAACCGCCCTCGGCGCACACATCTATATGAAACACGAAACCGACGAGAAGAGCCACACGTGTCCCCAGTGTGACAAAAAATTCAGTCTCGAGGAGAACTTTCAACGACACGTGAACCTTCACAAATTTGAAAAGACGCGACCCTTTGTTTGTAACGTGTGCGATTCTCGCTTCTCGACCCGTGATGTTTTGGATAAACATACGAAAACTCATGTAAAATCAGTGCAGTGCGACCTGTGCGATTTCAAGTGTCGTATGCACTACTTATTAGTTCAGTAATGGAGTCATATTTACCTACTTAAATTTATTGTAAGATAACATAATTAATTATGTGCCTACTTTTCAGGCATATGCGTCGCCACACGGGTGAAAAATCGCACAAATGTCCATACTGCGAGGAAACGTTCATTGACTATTCTACCAGACAGAGACACATTTTCGCCCTCCACGAGACCACGCCAATGCACCAATGTCACATCTGTCCAAAGAGTTTCTTCACCATGGGAGAGCTCAATGCCCACATCAGGAAGGTGCATGAGGACAAAAGTTTGCGTAAACCGGTCATCATCTCGTGTTCCTCGTGTGACGAGAAGTTCAAAACTGTCACGACAATGAAGGCTCATCGGGTGGAAATGCATGGGGACGAACCTTTCATATGTGACGAGTGGTAAGATAATTAGTAGTGGTTACTTACTGTATTTGCGAAATCCGTTACGAAATTAATTTACATTACATATTTCTAGTGGGGGTAGCTACGTGACTTTGCTGGCATTAAAAAAACACAAAATGCGCCACTCGATACCGGTTACGACTGAAAGATTGTTTAAATGCGACGTAAGGAGGATATTTATTGGTCAATTTAATTTATAATTCAATTACTGGACTCACTTTCTTGGGCAGATTTGCGATGCCTCCTTCCGTACAAAGTCTAGTCTCACAGGACACACTCAAACCCACACGGGCGGAGGACGACGCCACAATTGCCCAAGTTGCGGAAACACATACCGAAAGAAGTTGCACGTCCTGCGTCACATGATCCACATTCATAACGCGGATTACGATGGGGAAACTAGTCACAAATGTGACCCCTGCGGGAAGGGGTTCCCCACCAAGGGCTTGCTGGAATGGCATATCCGCCAACTTCATACCGGTAATGGACCTAAGTATCCCTGCACCCATTGTGACGCGGCCTACTCGGATAATACGATGTTGACCTGGCATATCAGAGGTCACCACGGAATCATGGTGGGTGGACTTAGAAAGCATAGCAAGACGTGGAAGGTCAAACCTAAGAAGAAAGTGGGGGAAGAAGGGTTATCATCTGCCGATGGTGGAAGTCGTGAGGGTGCTAATAATTTGACGGAATCTGTCATCGTGGAGGAAGGAGTGGTGTGGGGAGTGGGGCAACAGGTTTGGTTGGGATGATAAGACTGATTTTTAGACAATTTGTAATTTAATGTAGTCCAAAATATTTTGAAACACGTATTTGTCGTTTTATAAGTAATTTGTCTTATTAAGTCTGACAATTAAGAATTAGGTACATAGGTCATACAATGATATTGATTAACATGTATCTCATTATATTTTACAACAATAACAAAATTATATGAGAAACCTAAAACTTTACGTATTTGTATATGTAAGTCTATTATATAATCATTATAAGCACAGAAACAAAATCAACAACTTATTTAATTATTCCTGTTTTATGCTAAAACAACTATTCGGCTGCCTTGACAGATCATGATCAACATGTCGCATACATGTATAATTATGTACCCCCTTTCACTGCAGTGTGATCATTTATTCGCACATTTATTCGTCTGCGTAATTTTACGAAAGTGAATGTGGTTTTGGTATTTATCTGTATTTATGACGCTGCATGGTCACCTTGAAATTTGACCCATCTCGATATGGATACAGGGCGCATCTTCACTAATATGTTGGCAGTAATAAACTTACAGTGCTGGTGTCATCTTCTTCGTTAATGTCACATCTTCAGAATATTTAATAACAATTTGAGACTCCAGAAACACGATGAAAGCTGTAAGATTTGCAAAAACATAAAAATTTCGTATCGCACATTATTTATAAATTTGCATATTATTTCCATTTTCAGTGCGTCGCCATCATCCTCTCGGCCTGCGCCCTGTGCGCCGTGGCTCGACCACAACAGGGGGCAAAACCCCGAAACCCCGATCAGGACACGGTCATCACACGGTCGGAATTTGAAAAGAATGACGAAACCTTCAACTGGGTGTCGGAGTTGTCCGATGGTCAGACCCATTCACAAAGCGGGGCGTTGAAACAGGTCGGAGATGAGCAGAGGGTCGTAATTACGGGGTCATATTCTTACATTGCTCCAGATGGGAGGACCATTAAGGTCGACTACGTTGCCGACGAGACAGGCTTTCATCCCGTGGGGGATCATATTCCGCAAGCAATTCAGGTTTGGGACTTGTTTATTATGCAAATAGTTTCATGAAAATGATGAGATAATTTTTCTGTAACATATTTTCTAGGATAATACGGCCGTCGGAAGGACTGCGCCAGGTTCCCCCACTAGTGGCAAGTCGAACAGTGCTAACCAGCGTGCTCCAGCAAGACGGGGTTGATTTAGTTTAAATGGAAATACATAATTACATGTTTGTAATGACAATGAAAATACATAAGGATTTGCCTGTTTATACTCGACCTTGTATTATTGATCTTGTAATTACAAATACTGATACCCATCTTGTGAATTTTTTAACATTTTAAATTTATAGCAAAAATCATGACAATCCAATATCATATTCTCTACAGAAATCATACAAATTCAAAAAATTAATTTGTATGTATTACAAAACCTTAGGGCAAGAATTTATACAAAACTAGCAAAGGCTACACTAACCTTTATCAAGTTTTTTAGAAAATTATCATTGACCAGATATTTATTTATGATGAGATGGCAACTTCACTCTGAATAAGGGTCAGTTGAGTCTACACGGTCGAGGTCTCTCTTCGACCTGGGCAGTCTTTCTTTCTTCTCCGTGGTCACACCCACGCCATGCGACACTTTCAAGTGCTGATTTAACATCGACTTGAGCACGAACCCAGTTCCACACTCTTCACAAACGAAGGGCCTCTCGCCCGTGTGGGCGGAACGGATGTGACCCTCGAGATAAGACTTACGTGGGAAGGCTTTATCGCAGTGGGGGCACTTGTGGGGAGTGGGTCTTACAAAGTTCGTGTGAATTAGTTTTTCGTGCTGATTAACTTGACTCCTAGTTTTGAAGGCCTTCTCACAATGAGAGCAGGGAAAAGGACGTTCTCCCGTGTGCGATGTCATGTGAGTCTGCAGTGCCGTTTTCCTGAGGAAACGAGCGTCGCAAACCTGTAATTAAGCAAAAATAAGAAGATTAGTTAATAATGAGGGAAATACTAATATGTGGTAGGAACGATTCGATATTGATATAAAATTTACGGAAACTTCCGTTGTTCTTAACATTTAAAGTCCCTAAAATTTTGGCTGTACCAACGATAAAAATTTTTATGAAATCTTACATCACATTTGAATGGCTTAATCCCCTCATGAGTCTGCTTATGGGTTTTTAACCCGGACGGCGTAGTGAACACTGCGCCGCTAGATTTTCGAAACAATTCATTTATTTACTCAAATAATAAAATCATAGCGTAAAACTCTGCAAAAATTACCACTCGTCGCAAACTAAAGGGTCCGCTCCATGCACCCTGACATGATGTGTTGACAGTGCATTTCTGTCGGGAAGTTTTTCCCCACACGTGTCGCAAGTAACTTGTAATTTCCCCTCATGCCGGTCAATATGCGATTTGAGATCGAAGGGGATATTGAACGCCTTTCCGCAAATGTGACAAATAAGGTTATACGGGTTATTGGAATGCTTCCGGGCGATGTGGCGTTCCACAGTTATTTTATCCCGGAATGAGGCATAGCACAGGGGACATTTCTCTAATTTTTCGCTCGTGTGGGTGAGCATGTGTCTAAAAAAATATGGAATAGGCATCGTTACAAAAAATGAAAAGATCTGCATATCTTGAAAGCGCCACATGGTTAATAAATCACCTCGCCAACATCGGCCTGGTGTGGAATTTCTTCCCACATTGATTGCACGGGTATTTCGGTCCATGCGTCGCAACGTGTATCTCCATTCTTTCCTCGTTCTCAAATCTGGAGTCGCACACGTCGCAAACGAGCGGTTTGATCCCTTCGACTTCATGCAGTGCCACATGTCTCTTAAAATTTTCTTCTAGGACGAAGCCCTTGCCGCATTTGACACAGGAAAATTTCTTCTCTCCCTTTTCGTGTCGGATGACCATGTGCACGGCAAGTCGACCTTCGTAGCGGAACTTGTTGCCGCAGAGGGTGCACTGGTGGGGGAGGATGTTGTGGGCTTCTCTCAAGTGGGCGTATTTTTCATCCGTCGAGGAGAACGTGGCGCCACAAGAGGAACAAGGGATTGAACCATGAGCCATTCCTATGTGGCGAGTAAGGCCGCTCGGAGTGGAGAAAGCAGCGGTGCAAGAAGTACATTTGTAGGGGCAAACTTTTTTGGGTTTTTTGACTGGAGGGATTCTTTCCAGAGCGACTTTGAGAATTTTCTTAACTTCAATAGGAGGAAGTACAGGCTTCTTGACTCGAGAGGATGACCGTGTCCGTTCGAGGATTGGTCGAGGCTCACGCTTAATACGTTTCGTCAACCTGGGTTGAACTTCCGAGGATCGTTTCCTCTTTTTGTTTGTATTTCTGTGAAGGGAACAAAATCCATTGATATATAAAATTATAATTGATAAAGATGTGTGAATTTAAAATAATGATGGCGAATGTGTAGTTTTTACCCTAGCGAGGTTTTCTTTTTCCTCTTGGTTGTGACATGTTTTAGACTTTTCTTAGCAAACGGTGTGATGCAAAAGTCAGAACCGTCATCGTCCTCAAAGTCGTCGCCAGTTTGATCGAACTCATCATCCTCTTCTTTAGCACCATGCTCATGGTTAGAGGTCGTGTTTCCGTAAGAATTATTAAACTGCTCAAACAATTGGTCATCATCGACATGGTCCACTTCGTGTTCCACTTTGAGTTGGAATTGACTCGGGAAAAAATTGTCATCCTGCTGATGGCCAATCTCTCCTGATTTTATAACAATTCATGATCAAAATCATTAATAACTTTTTATTTAACTAGCGAAATATTTCCTAACCTGAACTTGTTATCATAAGAAATACACGATTCCTAATATCCAGGATTTTATCCCCTCCTACATCCAGCGAATAACTCGAAATTTTGTCCTTAATTTGCCCAACTTTTAGCTTAACTTGATCCTCCAGTAGAGAAATTTGCTCACGAATTCCTTCCACTTCGCCAACAACATGATAACAATTTGGGCAGAATCCGCACGTCTCGTCCTCATCAAATTGACCATGACAAGTTGGATTGTTACTGGAACTCGAAGGCGCTAGTAATTCGCACAAAGTGCCCAGTTTGATACATGTTCCGCCATCACTTTTCTTATCCTTGGCGATAACTTGCAAACAGAGAAAGCACAGATTGCTGGCCATACCGGATCTAAAATTCACACAAATTTAGACATGACAATTAAATAATTTACGTGTGTAAAAATTAATAAATGTGTAATATTACTGCATAAAAATTGCACAAATAAATTCCAAATTAACTGGACAAACTAAATAACAAAACTACGTACACAATTACTGTTTACCTTGCACCATTGACCTATCTGTCTTCATAAATGTGGAGGGCAAACGAGTCGAAAACTAATTAATTACATACTGTGTTTATTTATTTTATTGAGTTTAAAACTCCCTCGTTCATTAATTCTTTGTGCCCCTCACTCGGTTTGAAAGAAAAGTTCATGAAAATTTCATGATTTTTTCTAATTAGAAATTACTTTATTTCGCACTATTTTTTATGTTAATATTTAATCATACCTCCTTTATACTTTATGCATTTGCCTTGATTTTCGTAAAAAAAATCGAAATAATACAATTTGTGTAGAAATAACCCTTTTAAAAAATTGCATAAATACTTGGATGAATTTTTTAGCAGGTTGCCAAGTGAAAGGGTATTATTTATTATTAACATAAACATTGATAAACTATGAAATACACTTAGTTGGCTTGGGGAGTAGAGGAAAAACCCGATGTTGGTGGGTTGGGAAAACCTTTACTTGATCCGGATAGGCGTCCGAGATCACCATTCGGCCCCTTACATGATTTTTGTAAATAAAACGACCTATCATTTAAAATATAAAATAATTCTTCTAATCCTCGTTGACTGGGGACAGCTCCCATGATTGATGCCGCATTCCCGCGTTCAGTACCGTACCAACCGTGGTATATTGTGGTACGGAATACCAGGCCCGGGGCCCGCAGGGGCCCGGCCAGGTCGGCTGCTTTACACTAGATATAATCAGGGGTGGGCAAGATACTTTGGTCGTAAGATACAAGATACAAGATAAGATACTCTCTAAGACAAGATATAAGATACAAGATAAAAGATACATCTTGTTTAAGTACACAAGATACAAGATACAAGATACTTTTCTAAAAATTGAGTAGTCAAGATACAAGATACAAGATATGTATCTTAAGATACTTTTATACTAGATAAGATACTTTCTTTTTTAGCTTGGTATTCATGCCCAATTAGTCATGTTTAATCATTTAACCGAAAAAATCTAGTGAGTACAAAATTTAAAATCACTCTAGAATCATTTTACAAATTTTGTTGCCAGTGCTTATACATCGAAAAAGGTCTAAATTTCGAAAAACTAGAACTCTACCTAACATACGTATATTCTTAAGAAGCTGGTATTATTTTTACAATATTCCCTGCTTATTCAAACTAAACCCTATAAGATCTATACATTAGTTCAGCGTAGATGTAATGTGCAACGTATGTATCAGTATGTATGTACGAGTACACATGTACATATATATATATATATATATCTGCATATATGTACAAGTTTGTTACGAATTGGCAAAACATAAACTAAAAATTCACCAAATTCTGGTTACGACAAATTCATGGTCAAATTGACTGACTTTAGTAAGAAATTGACGTAATTTGACGGAATTTTGAGAAAAAGTATCTTGTATCTTGTCAAAAGTATCTTAAGATACTTTTCTGCCATGCATATCTAGATAAGATACTTACACAAGATACTTTCGACTTTCTAAAAGATAGAAGATACAAGATACAAGATACTTCTCTGATCAGGCGATGAAGATACAAGATAAAGATACTATCTTGTATCTTTTATCTTGTATCTTGACCAAGTATCTTGCCCACCCCTGGATATAATGGACTTTTTATGTATTGACGATTTTGCAAAAAAAACATTTCGAGACTAACAATAATCTTTTTAAAAATCCAGCGTAATGTAAGCCGATAGATCTTGTGTGTGAGCAATTGTTTTTCGTTTGTGAGTATTTTTTTAATCCTTTTCAATGGCTTCCATGTTGGTATGAATTTAAATCAAACATGTTTCATTTTATTACTTTTTTTATTGTTGATTTTTTCGAAACGAAATTGTGAAATATGAAAGTGGTTGAAATCTATTAGGGCTGTCAAATCCGGATACTCTGAATTTGGTAAATCTGAACTTTTCGGATTTTGAATAGTTCGCAATCGGGATGTCATTCTGAACAGAATCCGGATTTTCTCAATTTAAAGACAAAATTCATTTACGATATAAAGATACAAATTATTGAGAAAGGTATGGATTTAAAATAGTTACATGTTATTCATCTCCGCTAGTTGTGTTCTCACCTTCGGCAGCAAATCAAGTTTTTTGAAATTTCACATTTTATCATTATATTAACTGAAAAATATGCTCAAAAAATTATTAGAAATGATAAGATGAAATGGTAATTTTCGAAAATATTGAAAAAAACTTCAAGAAATCTGAAATGCACTTGAATGTGATGATGAAACTATTTGACGTCCACCTGATCCGATCGAATATCAAGGAAATTAATAATAGCAATAATTAATTCAAATCAGGAATTGGGTCCCAACGAAGTCGGCTAATTCGAATTCCGGATTTGAAAATTTGGAAAAGATTTGACAGCCCCATTAATGGTACGCTCTGAAACCATTATCAATCAACAATTTTCCGTCGACAAGCATCCGAAAATGCTTTGTATTTTCAGTACATATGCATCAAATTTCTCAATCGATACCAATAATAAAAGCTGAATACTTGCTCGGCTAAGCAAAATAATAATTTCTGTAGTACCATGCTACAGATTCAAATGGGAGTGGGTTTTATGATTTCCATGACTTGATTTTCTGGATAAACCCACCTGGGTTCAGCGATGGAAGTACTTGAATGGGACCTTCTTCAAAAAATTATTGATTAGTCGCCACAGGAGGAGTACCCCCATCTTTTTCAACGAATATGCCTTCTTCATATAGTAAAGTGCATCTGAACTTGAAATTTTCCGAAATTTCTTGAAACTTCACGTTCAAAAGTGCGTTAAGATACGAAGGAGACACATTCGTTGGAGAAGATGGGGGTACTCGTCCTGTGGCGACTAATCAGGAATTTTTTGAAGGTCCCATTAAAATAGAAATAGAGCCATTCAAAAGGAGCCTACCCTTAAATACTGTTGTTCAATGAACTCTTAATTTTGTGCCTTCTTATGCCATAAGTAAATTTTTATTTTTTCATTTAAGAAATACGTACAGAGATTTTCGAAATTAAAAATTTAAATACGTATTCTTAAGGTCCTAAGCTTCTGCTATGGACTGTCCGGTGAAGTTAAGTGTCAAGCTATTTTAACGTACAAAAAATGAATGCACGAATCAAATCTAACGAAACTTTTGTGGAATATTAACAATGACCAGACCGAAGTTTTTTAATCCTTCACTTGTCCAAATACCCCTTCCGTACCGGTGGAGAGAAGACTTTGTCGAGGACCTCTCATGAGCGCTTTGCCACTCGTTTCTCCAACTTCTATGATGATTTTCTCTATAACGCGCCGAAATTTTTCAAAATTTCTTTCTGTTATTTTTTTCTCAATTAATGCCCAAAATATTTCAATTGGTCGACGCTGAGGTACGTTTGGGGAAATGTCTTTTTTCTCGAAGAAATCAGTTTTTTTCCTCCATGTTACCCTGTCACTATTTTGGTATTCTACCCCGTAGCCATGTCCGGCCAAAACAAAACGCGTTTGTTTTTGATAGAGGGGATCTATCGCTTGATGATACACTCTTTGAAATAAAGTTCGAAGTTCATGTTCTTGGTGGAAGCGAATGGATTTGAGTCTTTAACATTTTTGTCAATCTTCGACCATCTTATGTATTTCATTGGAAATGTTGCTTGTTTTTGAATTTATATTTCGAACAAACTTCATTTTTACTTCTACATGAGTAGAACTTTACAGGATTGACGAATCGAGGTCAACGGAGCAGTAGTTTTCATCATCCACAAGAAACTTCTGGGAGTCTATTTTAACATTTTCTCAACAAGTTTTCCAAAAATTGTTTTAGCTACGTCTTTTTTTATCTTCGTTGTATTTTGGCACGGTTTTAGTGTTGCAAGTTTTGAAGCCTATTTTATTGGCCTTGATTTTGGGAAGATAGGTTTTTGAAATTTTTAGTTGTCTGGGTGCAACCCACACGGATCTGTTGGGATTTTTTCAGAAAAACTTTTTCACGTTTCTCGTCAGTATTTTGGTCCTCTGGCGGACAGGTCGACAAGGCCAAATTTTATATTTTGCATTTTCACGATCCTTAGATATGTATACTGTGTGATGAATTTTGTCGGGTGCATCCATTGACCGATAAAGTGGTCACGAGCCTTTTTCCGATCCGAAAAAATGACTTTTTTGCACCAGTGGCAAACTAATTTTTCCACTTCCTCTAAATTTTGTGCTGTCATTTTTTAACTAAAAGAGCTAAACAAATTCTGTTTTCAGTTTTAGAAAGCTTATCAAATTTGCTAGTTTTTATGGTTCTCACATGTGCAAAATTCATTTTTATCTGGGTGCACTAATAGAGGGAACCTTGACACTATGTTTCACCGGACAATCCATAGTCTTGGGCTTGATTCAACCAACCCAAAATTCTGTTCCCAAGTTTTGGGAAGTTGACTGGCTAAAATTTAAGTATTTACAAGATCTACTCACTGTCCTTGCATAACAACAAATACAAGTATTTTTCCCTTTGCACTGTCCAGAGACAAAAATTTTGACTTTCGTTCATGAACAAATACAATTTGAAAGTAAAATATAGTTATACATAGTTCCAAGTGTATCACAGCTACATATGTTTTCAAAACGATGGTAAAATTTGGCAACTTTGATTTTATAATCTCAGATTATTTTAATTGAAAGCACGAATTATGCAAAACTGCAAGGGTAGAAAAGCCATGGTAGCTTGAATTGATTTCGAAGGGGCCAATTTTGCTTAAACCAGGGACAAACTTACGAAGTTCTTGAGGCAGTCAGTGCAGTAGATCCAGTCTATGCGATGGTGGGAATTTGTCAACATATTTTATCTGAAAGTTGAAAAATGGGTGATTTTTCGCTTCGAAGTGAATGGGAGTTTGCTTCATCTGCTTGGTAAGAATCCCCCGTTTTTTCAACATTGACCTCAACTATTTTGTAAAATTCTGACCATCCAACCAATTGCCTCAAGAAACGCTGGTTGTATAGACTTGGATCACATAAGTTTAAAATTTCAACCAAATCGGAGGGTAACACTTCACATCATCGCATTGTATGTAAGTTTAAAGTATGTGTTACACATGCGGTTTTATGTAACAAGTATTTTTGATCGCATTTTCTATGTCCTTCGCTCATATGCATATGGTTGC